AGTAAGCATCGGGCGGCTCTCCGGAGTCGCACGTGGTTTCCAACGACTCCCGGTGCTAAACCCTGAATACGGAGACTCCGCATTCTGCAAGTCGAACTTGTACCGCGCCGCGGCTTAGCGCGCACACCTGTTTCTGCAGCAGCAAGTGTCTGCATGCCACGTGTCGAAATCTTATACGCGTGCAACCCTGGTGGGATTTCCGCAGAGGGCGGGAGTATTCAGAGAGCACAGTTGACCAGCGCGGCGTGTACGGTATGACGGTGCCGACGCACCGTCGGTGACGTCGTGTTGCATCACCAAGCGATGGTCCCCCACTAGGCATGGATGATGGGAGGTCCAAGCAGGAGGTCCAAGCAGGAGGTCCAAGCAAGTCAATCGCCCTGAAAAGGGACTCGATCACGCAAGGCTGGGTGAGGACGGGCCGGCGGTTCTTCATCGCTATACAGGGATTTCAGTCCATGTGTATGGAGTTTGGGAGAGAACCGGCAGGCGCCGACGTTGGATTCCTCTCGCACAATGGAAAGGTTTCTGTCTACCAAGGCAACTCGGAGCTGGGCCTCCTCTTCGCGCGTGCGACAAACAAATGGCAGGCTAGTCTTTTCTGAGCTTTGCATGACGGGGGCCAGAGCAAGGCGCTGTGACTCGCGAGTCCTTGAGGCTGAGCGCAGCGGCAGCATTCTAGCGGCTGAAGAGTACAGCCCTATCCACTTGAGGAAGACAGAACTTCAGTGGCAGATAGCTGCTGAGGAGACAGCTCTGGCGGTGAGCGGGCCAGACTGATTTCAGGGTGAATAACAGGAAACAGTCGAAGCAGGAAAAAACTTGGACTACTGAGAAGGATACTACAATTGTAAGCATGCACAGGCTGTAGCTAATTGGTGAATTGACTTCGTGTCTCTTTCCTTAACTGAACAGAAGGAAGAGAGTGCTTGACGGAGAGTCCTGCGATGTGACAATTATTGCTTCCAAGACAGACAAGCCATTTTGTCAGGGTTCGCGCCTAAAGCAGCGGAAAGACGTGTCATCATCGTCACACACAAGGGGTCAAACAAGCGTGAGTACTCTGGCGGCTTTGGTCAACAAGCTTGAATCTATCATGCTTAGAGCCTTGCTAAGATTTAGATATGGTGCGGCTAAGTGTAAGGGTTACACCATAAAATCGTATCAATACAGACATGCATTAAAGCTCCGTCGTGCTTGGCAAAGTGCTGCACTTGGAGGCCAACCTTGTTCTAGATGTCAATCCGAGAGCTTGATACCCAAGGTCTGCCAGCAAAGTAAACAGTGAGCTGTTGGTGGGTTGCTGGTTAATCTTTGCAAAGTGTGGAGAGTGCTCTTTGTTATGCACGTTCAAAGAAGGGCCACCTTGAAGTTTGAAAAATGGTTCTAATGAGTTGAATTATGAGCTGTATGGAAACATTGTGATTTTCACACGGTGTTATCCAGAATGCTCGTGAAAGTTTTGGGCTGTTAGCGGGCTCCTGTATGGATTTTGTGTACAGCTGACCTTAGTAAGAATGGCATCTGTCTTTGGCACCGGTATCTTCGGTTGTACTGCCCCTCACATACATTGCTCCTCCTTGCTGCAGGTTCCAACAAAGAAAATGGAGACGTCCCCGTCGGCAATTGCATTTCGGGGCATTCGAAATGTGGATATGATTCCATTTGTAAGGCTCATATTGTCATGCTCTAGAGTCCTTTTTGCCCTTTAAGTGCTGTGCCCTTCGCAGTGCCTTCCTTGTTACGGTCTTTCGGCACATTGTTTGGCCCCTAGAAAACCAAGTTCCTGGGATCAAAGCGGGCCGGAGATGCACGCATCATTATGAGCAAGTACCTCACATTGGTTGCTAACATTGCCTAGCATGCATGCTGTGGCAAAATTGACTATCTTGATACTCTTTGTTCCCATTCTATCACCGCTTATACCTTCTGTTGGTGCGTGCAGATAAGGGACGTGATTGACACGCTGCGCGAATTTGACCTGCGTCGCCTTGGGAGCTCAAAGGTATACAAGACCAGGATGGAGACTGAGCTGCAGCCACACCTGGTGAGACCACAGATGTCCAACTGCAATACCCGCTTCCTTTGGATGTTTCAGTCATCTCTGCAGTGCTCCACTGTGGAATGTTATTTCAACAAAACAAAGCCAGCAAACGTGCCCTCCACTTTTCGTCCCAGCCTTTGTTTCTGGCAAAGCCAAAATAAGACAATTGCTCTGCAAGTTGTTACTGTGTTACAGAAAGCCAGGGCCCTGTCTCGAAGTACCTCAACCAGCATTAGATACTTTCCTTGTGCCTCAAACCATTTTGCCTCGATAAGACAAGAGTCTCTCGGTTCGCTAGAGCTGAGGCTGTGTGGTGCATGCAGGTGCCCCATTGGGTGCAGCCCCTTCAGTTGCCCCCTCACGCTCCATTCTTCCACACGCGCATCCAGAAGTGGAAGCGACACAACATGATGCGCGTCCTCGAGGCTGCGGCTGACGAGATTGCAGGGGACGACATCAAGATCGCTGAGGTCACCGATGCCCTCCTCCGGCGTGTGGAGCCCATGGGGCCCCACCTGCAGGCAGCCGTTGATAGCTTCATCCAACGGCTGAGATTGAATCGGGCTTCGGCCACTGGACCAAATGGGGCAGTGCTCAGGGCAGAAGTTGTGCAGGCCCCACCTCGCGTGAAGGCGGAGCTCGGAACCCTGGCGACGAGCATCAGTACAGAGGAAATTCGGATTAGAGGGCAGGGGACTAGGAGTCCCGTGGCAAAGTTTGTGGACGACTGCCTCTCGTCCAACTCAAGCCTGAAGCGGGCTGCATCCGGGCCTCCCGAGAACGCTCCGCCAAAGCGGCAATGCGTGTGGGATTTGTCAAGCACCAAGAGCGGGACGCTCGCAGCAGTTTGCAACTCTGCGGAGAGCGTGGGCAAGAAGACGGCCGGCACACACGGGGCTCCAGAGCAGTGCTTCCGCTTTGAGGTGCCTGCGGTGGACACCCAGGCCATCCTGGCTTTCCTGAAGGCAGGCCAGAATGCAGGCGCAACCCTACCTTTTCCCCCGCTTGCAAACCTAGCAGCAAGCCACCCCCCCAGCAGGCAGTTTGACCTAGAGCAGCAATATGATTTGCTGAGCTCTCTGGACGACTTCCTGGGGCCCATCCCTGAGGGCGACGTCCCCCCCTGCCACGACGATGACGTCTCAGAGAGCCACTCTGGCAGCGCCAGCCAGGTCCTGCATGAGTTTGACGTTAGCAACGGCGTCAGCGAGCGGGTGGTACTTTCCTCGGAGGCCGACGAGCCCTATCTGGACGACCTCGACTTTGACGAGTACCAGGAGGCGGTCTATGCAGCCGCCAGCTCGCGGGCGGGGGACCGCGAGGGGCGGGAGCTGCTGGAGGACGCGCGCCTGCTGCTGCAGAGTGCGCTGAAGTTGGGGCAGTGCCCTCATCTTGGGGCCATCAGGGTTGCGCTCGTCGCTGAGAAGCTGTCTCCGGTGGTTGAGCAGATGCGGGAGCGCAGCGAGGCGATGGAAGCAGAGGAGCTGCATGCGCTGGAGTGCCTGAGTGGGCTGCTCATGGGGGCCAGGGAGCGGGTGCAGAGTGCCATCGAAGAGGATGCGGAAGACGTGAGTCTACAAATAGGCTACCGGTGCTTGATTCATCTGAGCCTATTCAGCCGATGTGTCCTTCTTTTTCTTTGGATGCTTCCCGAACTCGTCAGTCTGACATCAAGCAGCGCTAGTCTTACCAAAATTGTTGACGCAGAAGGAGCAGACCTCCGCTTTCAATCAACGTGCTCCTCGTTGTGCATGCATCGTCGTCTTCACCATGTGCTCCTTCTTTTGCAGACTTTCCGACTGCCCCCTTTCAGCCTTTTTAATTGCAAGTCTTCCCTTCTGCAGATCCTGACTGAGATCGATTCCGACACCGCCATCCGGCAGGAGGTTTCCAAGCTGGAGAAACTGGTCGACGACCTTGTGGCGCTTTCGGGCACTACTGTTTTGGAGGTCAGTCTTGAGCATGCTCATACTCCTTAAGATTGCCAAGGTCTTCATTGACAATCGTTCAGCGAGTCAGAAAACCTACAAAAGAAACAAGAATTCGATTGTCTGCTTTGAATCCAATCGTGTGAGGTGGTTCTGCATAAGGAGGTTGAAGTCTCTCGTACGCTCAACCCAGATGTAACGGCGAATGTTCAAGATAATTTTTGTTGCTCATTGCTCCGCTCCTTGAATCTCTTCGGCTGCCAGCCCTGAGATACGATTCGTCTGAGCGCATCCCTTTTTGTATATGCCCAAACAGATTGCTGACTCTGTTTTCCTCGTCCTGCAGGAGCCTCGCGTGCAGCTGCGCTTGGCGTCTGCCCACAACCGGCTGGCCTCCTCGCTATCCCAGCATGGATGGGTGGAGGAAGCCCAGGCCGAGATGGACTGTGCGAACTCCATCTTGAGCGCGCTACGCGCCGTGTCCGCTGGCCCCAAGCAGCGGGCCCTCTCGCCCCCGCCCGAGTGCCCCATCAGCATGGAGAAGATGCAAGACCCCGTGGTGCTCACCACTGGGCACACGTTCGAGCGCTCCGCCATTGAGCGCTGGTGAGCGCCCGAGTTTTGCATCTATACGCTTGTAATACAGCTGAGCGACCGACTCACTTGGGATATAGCAACCATCTGTCGATTGCGATTGAGCACAGCGAAGGTGATGTCTGCGCTTGTGTTTCAAGTAATGCAGATCTATCACCCCTGTTCTAATCCTGTCCACTGGGTGTACCAATCTGCTTTGTGTGAGTCTTTGTCCCAAGTTTCTCTGCATGATTTGAGGCCCCATCCGTGGACAAATTTTCTGACCGCGACCCCTTTTTCTCAATGCAGGCTCAACGCTGGCAACACCACGTGTCCCATCACCCGGCAGCCGCTCACCGACCTCGAGCTCGTCCCCAACGAGGCGCTGCGTGGTTACAGTGCCAGGTGGCACGCCGAGAACGGGCTTGCACAGCCTCAGGCGCCGAGCTGGCCGGAGCTCACGGTCGATACGGCACCAAAGAATTCTGCCCCGTTGGAGAAGGGCAGGGACCTGTTCCAAGTGGACGACTTCTTGGACGACGCTCTGAAGGGTGCCGGAACCGACAGCTTCGACGTCTTTGGGTTTGGGCAGGGAGTGAGCGGCAAGGCTGGGGAGATGTACGCCTTTGAGGAGGGCCGTCAGTGTGGGGAGCAGGTCGCGGCAATGGACCTGAGCTCGTGGAATGTGGATATGATGCAGTGGGCAGTCAGCACCTGAGCGGGTGTGATTACAGGGAGCATGGTTTGCCAACACGTGTTTTGGTGCGAGAGTCGTAGTCGGTTCGGGACTTTGTGGATTCCCCTTGCCAGCGGGGAAGAGAAGAATGAGGAGGAGGATGTAACGGGTAAGACCGTCGTAGAAGGTACCACCACATCTATTAAGCAAGGTCCGAGTGTGTTGACTAGCTCACGCACCAGCGTTTTGACAGTAATTACTAACTTATTGGTCACACCCAACCAGATTTTGCGCACCAGCAGTTACTTGGTGACTTTAGTTTTGCTGCCTTTAACCTAAGAACGCTCTATCCGAGGTCAGACTGTACAGTTCTAAGCGATCTGCATAGGCCACCCAAACTGTAGGTGATCGATGTGAAGCACGTTGATTCACCATAGCCGCACAGGAGTGACGTTAGTACCTCAATTCAGTAGTGCAAAGCAATAGAATTGCAGCCCGTACCGCCCGCCACTAGTTTATTTGAGGACTAATCATCTGAAGCAAGAATGCCGCTGAAGAACGAAATGTTTCAATCATGCAGTCGTAAACTGACTCAATACAACTTTTTGATCTTGAATTACCACATAAGTTGAACATCCGGCATGCACATGTGTGAGGCAGATGTGACTATCTTGTTCCGTGCATATACTAACGTGGACTATTTACATACGTACCTGGCTGCCGGCATGCGGACACACATGGTACTTGTATGGAATTACAGTGGCGCCGTGTGCATTGAACTGTAATCATTGAATCAGATCGCATTTTAAGTGCACGTACCGCGGCCACAGCTGACATCATGACGGTGGCAATTGCTTCTACGCAATTGGCAGGCGCGGCCCACTGACCTCAGGCCGGCCGGGCGCCTCTTGCCAGCTTGTCGCCTGCATGTACAGCTTCCTGCCCCAAACGTTTCAGTCTAGCTGCATCATGCATGGGACCAAGCACTACTGCGCACTGCTGCTAGGGGATACCTGGATCCGTACACTCAATGCAAACTCGAAAGGCTGCATGCCCTCCATATTTCGCAAGGCATCTTCTAGCTTTCTTCACCTCTTTGGTTTAGTACCATTCCCTAGGGCCTGATCTGCCCATTCAGGAGCTACACGATTGTATGTACAAATGTTCGAGGGTGTTCGCCAATACGGACATACAGCTAGCTCCTATGTACAAACTGCAAATTTACAACTAGCGATATCTTGAATGTACAAATTGCGAGCTCTTTGAGAAGTGATTATCCCTTGCGTTCTCATGACTGACTACACGAAAGGGAGGCCACCGAAGCCCCCAGGCTTGCTTGTGTTGAATGGGTCGTAAGGAGTGTGGAAGAGCTGTCCGGGAGGGCTATAAATGGGTCCCTTCAGCTCGTGGAAAAGCTTGAGGTTGTCGACCAGCTTATGGTACACGTTGCACCCCTTACACTACGCAAGGAAGACAGAACGCGTCAGTCATGCCAAGCAGAGCAGCCTGTTGGGACGGAAGGGGAAGCTCAAACCCACTAAGTTTCAATCGAATTGTGTGAGACTCTAGCTTTTCATTGGTGGGTGGGGAAAACTACGTTTTCTGATCAGCATCATTGAACATAGAGGCTTAAAAGGCCCTAGCTCCCTTTGCAGGACCAACATCAAAACGTGCACAAAATTAGTGCCAGCCTCAGGTTCTTAGCACGGCGACTTTGAAGAAGACAAGTGATTAACCAGCTGCAGGGTTTCTCCACTACAAGATAAGGTACGCAACAGCCCTTGCAGAACGGATAACATTGAGAACGCGATGCTGGAACTTCAATCTGCATACCCTTATTTGCTACATTTTCCAACACTCGCTCAAACTCCTGGCACCAGACACATCAAGAATCTAATACTGAATGTACAAGCGACAAAGCAAAGGCTGCCGGAAGACCTTACAAAGTACTGGACAAAATAGGCGTCACATCAAGGGCTCACTGCACTCTACTACCTAAACGGTTGAGGGGCAGAAGCAGAAGGGCAATAGGGCGCCGAAGGTTTACCTGCACGAAGACAGTCCCTGTCTTGTAGGCCTGAGGGTTGATTGCTCGCGTCGTCCTCTCCCAGCACTTGTTGCACGTGAATTCCACTCGCAAAGTGCGCCGGGGCGAGTTGCTGATTAGAGGGCCTGCTGATGAAAAGCCTTTGGCCCCCATTGAAGCGGCAGGGTCTAGGAGCGTCCAGCCAGGGCCGTCAATGGGGCCTGAGCGCTTTCCGGTTGCTGCGCCGAGCGCGAACTCCATGGCATCGTCCTGAGGGAGGGCACACACACCTTGTGTTAGGAGATACATCGAATGCTCAAGCAACATGGTCAAGGGTACCAGATTTTTTTTTGGCAATCCAATAGAATTGGCTACGAAGAGACTCAACACCGTCCTTGGCAATGACGCCATGAGACATTGGGAAAGGAAAACTCGCGGTAGGCGCTACAAGTCATGAGGACAACTTGCTATGGCCACTCAAAGTTGAAATGCACTGGACTGGACTTGCCTGTGACATTCTTTGTAGACCAAAGGGGTTTCCATCTGAGGCCACTTTTTGGCCAAGGGCTGCTGGGACCAGGGCATACACGCCAACCTCCTTGGGGGCGGGCAAGCGCCTCTCAACAGGAATCAAGTCGTCGACCGGCGCCAGCGACAAGCGGACTGCCAGGAGCACAGGCGACGTAGTGAGCAATGAACGCCACTGTACTAGGAGAAGAGAAAACAATATTATAGTGACATGACAGGAACTCAGTGCTTCGTAACAGCGTTGACGTTATCCCTGCACGGATAATTGCAGCGCAAACTGAGAAGAGAGCTTATGAACACCCCGTTTTTGAATTCAACCCAGAACTCCAGAAGCTCCAAATCCGAAAGCCAATGCAACACAGGAATGATGCAGGCTGACAGGAGAATTGCCTGGTGAAGATGTTGAAGAGACTCACCATTCGAGAGAGTGAGTGCCCCCTGCTCTTGGTCCCCTGTTTCTTGGCCCCTCGACAAGCTCTGAGCGAAAGCGCTAGCGTTTATGACCATGCCGGTGTGTCTCGTAGCCACTCCCGCACCAGGCGCTTCGCTGGCGGCCAACTGCCGCAGAAGGGGTTCAATTGGTTGTCTCAAAGAAGAGGGCTGCCAGAAACTAAAAGGAAGTCGCAACTTTTCACCTGCAGTTCGAGTAGGATGGTGAAAGTTGTAAGCGCCACCGCGCAACACGGGAGCATGGGGCAGTTGCTGACGAATTGTGACGTTTGCACAAGTCCGAGGGCCCCATGAGGATGTCTGGGAAAGTAAGCAGCTGCATTGAGAAGTTGAAGCTGTTGAAACAAGCGCCATGATGCTTGAAAGGTGCTGACAGAGATAGAAGCTGGTAAATTGCAGGATTCCTTCTTCCTTTGTGCTAGGCACGGAATTCGAAAAAACACAATATCCGTCTTGGCAAGCGCAAAATCCTTGAGTCCGCTTCAAAGCTTTAGTGCCCGCCCGATTTTTTCGCTCAGCCATTTCGCCGGGAACTAACTTTGGTTATTTGCCATCCCCTCGGCGAGGTGCCCGGTGATCAGGATATTGCCCGCGACAGCGAGATATTGCCCGGCAGAGCGGGCATAACCAAGTCACGTGGCTTTTGAGCCAATGAAGTTCGAGATATTGGCTCCACCGATGACCATGTGGTCTGATAGTGCCCGCGATTGAAACCAGTACTTTATTTTCACCGGGTACCCTAGCGTTTTGGTGCTTGAAACGATCGTAGCCGTCCGATGAACAACTGGGTTCAATCGGACGGGCACTAAGTGAGTTAGTACACTCGGGTTCGGGAATACGCAAAATATTGCCCTCGGGCTCCGCCCTCGGGCAATATTTCGCGTATTCCCTCACCCTCGTGCACTAACTGTTACCAAGTGAACTGAACATCTTGGAACAAACTTGCACAAGGTAGTCCGGACTCTAGTCTAGGATAGATGTACGTCGAGAAGCCTTCAATATTCAGTTAGAAAAGGTCATATCCAGGCAGTTAAACGTTGCAATAGTCCAGATATCGATCAACATTCTCATCCTGGGCAAGTACCGTAGCTGCACGGCGGTGCTGCTGTTCTCACTGTTTCAGAGGATTGGACAAGAAAGCTCGGCGGCTGGTCAAGGTCCTATTCTGAGTCTGCCATTTGTCTTTCAATACCTTCTGGTTGCGATCAGGCCCGCTGTAAGACATCTGCCTGACAAGTGATTTGGTATACTAAAACCAGCGTTTTGCAGGAGGAGGAGGAGGATCCAATCGACCAGTCTTGATTGCAAGCTGTCGGTGGAGATATCAGAGGGCCTGATCTGAGCAATTGTTGGCAAGTCCTTCAAAATGGAGCGGCTAAAATTGATGCTGGGATACGATGCGGAACCAGAACCTGATCCTGAAGATGAAGGAATTCTAGCGGAGCTCAATCAGTATTGCACCCTCACTAGAAAACAGGTAAGACATTCTGTAGCAGTCCCATTGGCTGAAACCTTCCAGCTCAAAGTGCTTCTTGAGAATGTGGGCTTAGCTTCTCCGGAATGTGGCTCATGAGAGGTCTGCTGACCATGTTTGGGGTGCTCTTTAAATTTGGGTTCCGTGCTGACCAGTCGTGGTTTGCGAAGTTCAATGACGGGGGCCAGATTGGTCACATAGAGCTGTGCTCTGCGGGATGTTGGTCGCTTGGGATTGTTGCCTTTGCTGGGCTCATTGTGTAAGCTACCACTTTGTCCAACTGGTGCCCCGCTAATTAACGCTGTGCTGATTGCTGCCTGGACTCTCCGTGCAGCGCCTCTATGGCTTTGCAGGCTGCATGTCCCTTGGTCTGCTTTGCTCACTACTGGTAAGTCATTGCTCCTGAGCTGCTCCGCTCATTGCCAAACACTTCGATGAGCTGACTCCTCCCTGAACTTGATGACCAAGACTGGCCTAGGGCGAGTAGTAGTGCATTCAATGGGTTCATTTAGACGATGTTTCTTTGCCATGTCAACAGTGTTTCCTTACTACTTCAGCCATATTCCAAACGAATCATCACTTACTTGGGAAGGCATTTCATTTTTTTGCCTCATCTTAAAGATTCAGGCATCTCCAGCTTCTTCAGGTGCAATCTGAATTGGCAGTAATCCAAGTGTCCTTCTTCGTTTGACACTCACATGTCTTTTCTGGCCTTACAGTCCAGCCTGGTGTGGCTGAATCCGGTCAAGTTTGCAATTACATACACATTTGGGAACCTCCTTTCGTTAGGCAGGTGAGCGGAGGCACCCTTGATCAAACACTCTAACACTGACTTATGAAAACGCCCAGTTGTTCATGCGGGTTGAGTAGATCAATGACAGTGAGCTTCGCTTGCTTTTAGATCAGCTGATGAACCTTTCTGTACCTTGCCTCTCACAACACCATCCCCTTTGGTTCCGCTCAACACCTTGTCTGTAAAAAGAGGCTTTTTCGGGCGTCCTCCTTTGCCCACCACATCTGTTCTGCATATCCAACTTACGGCGCCCTCCATGATCGCGGCATATCCAACTTACGGCGCCCTCGAATGATCATGATCAGCAGGCCCTTCTTCTGACTCTCTCGTGCAGCACCACCTTTTTGGTGGGCCCCATGCGCCAGCTCAAGATGATGTTTGACCCAGTACGTGCGGTCGCCACCATCGTGTATGTAGTCGCGATCGTCCTCACCCTCTTCTGCGCCCTCTATGTGAGCCATCTTCGACTGTCTAGACGCCCGATTGAACCTGAGAATGTGCACAGAATGAGATTCTTTATCTTTTTACCTGAGTTGGTGTTTTGCTGATCATCCCCGGCGTCACTTTGATCAGTGCTTCCGATTTGCATCTGGACCTCCCTTGCTCAGTAGGAATCTTGACTATTGCTCGGGGCTTCGCTGGCACATTATCGAGCACAAACACCATCTCGAGATTTTATTCTCAAGTCCTGGGGCGCAAGTCCTTTAAGGGCTCGGCTCGTTGTCGAATCTGCTCTTGGGCAGTAGGATTAGAGTGGACGAGGACAAACGAGAAGCGTTTTCGACCAGGCAAGGGCCTTCGTTGGGTGGGAACTACAGAAGGATCGCAAGGATCCGGTTACAATCTACGACTCGAAAAGGACAGCTTGACGAGAGACGCGTCTCCGTCTATGTCGTTGTTGACGACAGTACAAGCGGGCTCGTTTGAAGTTCTCGAAAGTAGGAATTGAGATCATGGGAGCCCAGTTTTAGCCAAACCCTTGTGTTTTTGTCCTGAACCACCTTTCATCCAACCAAGTTCTTACTTTGGAAAATATCTGGACGAGCTCGCCAGTGAGTGAAACAACTTTTGAATGAGAATGTTGCTTCGTACATCGTTGGAAGGCCTTCATACGACGGACGGTTTTGACATCAAGGTCTTATGTTCGAAGCCCCTTCAAGCTCTCCAGTCTTTCCTTCGATCTATTGACGACAACACTTTCAGACTCGAACGGATATGACCTACTATCGTGGCCCTATCTGCAGTTGCACGATATTCTTTTGACCATGATATGCATCGTCGTCGAGTTTTGCGCTGTCATCTGGTAAGCTCGTCCTCTCTGACCATCAGTTTTCGTATTACAAATTTGTTCACGGTAGAATATGTCGAATCAGCTGGCTCGGCTCGCTTTTCTGCGTTGTGGCGAGTTCTTGAAGCTGTCAAGGTTGTCTTTGAGCACAGCGTCAGCAGTTCCGTCGGTTGAGTTCCAAGAGTTTGATGTCGATGTCAAGAAAGGTACTGGTCATTGCAGTGCGCTAGAAAGGACGCCCACAAGACGTTGTATTAAACCAATCATCTGCTCCTCTACAGGTACAGTTTGAGTTACATACCGTTTGCACGACGCATGGTGGCAAGCTGTTTGACTCGGTGTTTAGAAGTAGAAGTGTAGATGGAGCGAGTCTGTTATGTTAGTACGCTGGCACCCGTTACTTGCAGCCCACACACAGAACGTACATCTCAGGTTGCCCATCCAAAGCGTGTGGATGTATGCGCAGGATTCTGCCATGCTGCCTAGGCCTGCAAAAGTGGTGGGGATCGGCAGGACCATGACAAATTAGAGCAATGTTTTAGTTAGAACAAGAGAAGGGTGTTCGGTTGCATCGGAAGCGACTTCCTTGATGAATCTGCAATCAAGATTCAAGCTTTTAAGCGGATCAGAGCTTCTGTCACGACAATCTTGCAATGACTCTAGTACGGAATGAATTGCATGGACTCAACCGGATATACCATACTTTGGATCGAAGGAGTTAGCTTGAGGAATGCTTTATGCTCTATTATTGCATCGCTGGTATAGCGCGCTATCTATAGCTTATGGCCCTATGAAGTAATCGGAACAGCTGCTGCCAGCAGCGGCCATGCCAAAGTATAACAATAACAAATAACAATATCAACAAGAAAACAAGAACCATGGTCGTTGAACCATGGTCAAGCAATAACATTAACAATATCAATATCAACAATGGTCGTTGGCCAAGCCAACTAGCAATGTTGCATGGCACAGCACATGGGCTTCAGAAACCACATTGTCATCATTGACATCATCGGGGCTTGGAACCCCGGCCGCATTGGTGATGCTGTATAGCCTGGCCGAATCGTCTTTTAAGTGAATAAAATCGATTTAACCATTTCAGATGGAAAAATCATGTCTGATCGGGCTGATTCAGCCCCAATTAAAGACATTGCAATTGAACATGTCTAAATCCGCGGTGAACATCTACCGGACGACCTCAGATGAAGATTCCACCGGGAGGGCTCCAATTGGGTTTCGGCGAGATTCGCTGCCATGGCGCTAGGCGCGCTAGGAGTACCTCTAGGCACCTCTGCCAGTGCAGGCCAGCACAGTTTGACAGCAAAGACTCACGAGAGAAGAGGTAGACGTTCTCGTGACGCTGCATCGGGGACCTTCTGATCGAGCTGGCCTTACGTACGTAAGCTGCCTCGAGAGGTTGGGTTGTGGAATTTAGCCAAAGTCCTATGGCAGTGGGGCTTGTCGTAGTACAGACTCTTTGTGGAAGAGGCAGACGCTAAAAGGAGCTTTCGACGAGCAATTCCCATGTTCAAGAGCGTAGCGCAGCTCAGGCGCAAGCCGCAAAGTGAGCTTTGCAGCTTGCAATATGCGCTCATTGGTGAGCTCCTCCTTGTCTACAGACATCTGTTACATTCTGCTGGCAACCAAGTATTATTGCATCAATGTTCCGTTGGTGATTGCGTCTTTTTGTTATGGGTGACTGGCCTCTCTACTTTGGGGCTTGCAGAGCTTATACGATGGCCTGATTGGTTGTCAACCACTTCAGCAAGCTGCCTTCAGATTTTTATGAGGGGCCCAGACTGCTCCTGCACGTCTTTCAGCATTGATCTGTCAACATCATTTCTTTCTTCTGCAGTGACCATCTCCAGTCCCGTTTGTAGGTGGGTGATTGAAACCTTAAATGTTTCATTCATCCATCTTGTGCGACACTTCCAGAAGGATCTGGTCGATTTGGCAGCTTTCAACCACCATGATCTTGATGAATCTCAGTTCATTGGCCACTGGAAACATTACAAACCGAAACTCCTGCCCTCATCTGCAGTAAGTCCCTAGTTTGTTGTCGAAGGGGAGCTCGGAGGTGCCATGGACAGCCTCAAGGAGCTGGTGGACGTGCTGGCTGCCCAACCCAGCACAGCTGCCCCCAGACTGCGGGGAATTCTGTCCCTTTGTTCCCCTGCGCTCAGTGCCAAGCAACCATCTGCAACCAAGAATGCCCCCCTCCCTCACTCCCCACCTGAAGTTACCCCCCGTCAGCTGGACAGTGTCCTCGCTCTCGCCCGCTTCCTCGCCGCATCGCAAGGCCAGTTCCGCCAGCAACTGCTTCCCTACGTACTTGGATTTTTAAGGGCTCTTCTAGTTTCCCCGGCAGCCACGGCCAGCCTGGGTGCCAAGTCCCCCTTCTTCCCCCAGATTCTCAAGCCCCTCTTTGATCTAGCTTGCATTGATGCGGAGAGCCAGAAAAGTATAAGCGGGGCGGTGGCTGAGATCCTTCAGGAGATCACAAAGGTGACTCAGCTCAGTCAAGGAGAGGAACCTCTCCTTCCAGTGGTACAGGAGTTTTTGGCTGCCCTTGGCGAGGGCCCAGTGCCGCTGCTCGGGGATGATGCAGAACATGTCGCAAAGTGGCTCCACGAACGGTGGATTGGCAACCCCTCATCTCCGGGGTTGCATCTCCGAGCAAACGGCCAGCCTAATGGCGGGGAGCACGGAAAGCAAGCGAATGGGAAGGGGGATACGGATGGCCCCAGCAGTCGGTCCCCCAGCGTGGCTTCATTATCTGAGAGCGGCGACGAGATCTCGGAGTTGCATTTGGGGGCTAGCAGGTCGAGCGACAGCTTGCGAGCGGTGGTGGACGAGGGGCCGTCGGTGATAGAACGCCGGGAGTGGGCGTTCCGCATCTTTGCCCAGCTGCTGCCGCAGGCGAGGGTGAATGGGGGGCCAGACGATGCGCATCTTCTGGGAGCATTCCGGGATCGAGCAAGCAAGCAGCTGAAGATGATGGTCCACACGCTACAGGTGAAGATTCAGCCGGGGAGGGGAGGAAGGGGCAAAATTCGATTTCCACAGACGGTTCTTCGGAATGGTTCATGTTCTTTCGAAGAGCATAGTCAGCTTTTCGCTCCTCTAACCTTCCTCCAAAGGTGATTGTGAGTCACGATTTTTGTGGTAGTGAGTCACGATTTTTGTGGTAGTCCATGAACAAGTGCGCGCTTGACACCAGCCTGTTTGGACCTCATGGACTCTCAATGCTGTTCTGATAGGTCAGTAACCCAATAGAATATTTTATCGTCCAGCCGCCAGACAAGTCACGGGCCACTGGATGAATTGCAGTACATCTTCCCCGCATTCAACACGGACCTTTTCTCAAACATCTCAACGCTTCTGCAGCCCCACACCTCCGAGCTACCCCCCCGGCGTGACGTCGAGGCGCGCTTCCTTGCCAGCAGCGCTGCGGGTCAGGTCCTGACGGGGCTGGCTGCATTGGAGCCTCAGGGAGCGGGCAGCGTGCGCATGACCTCAGTGCGGCAAGCGGCCAACCTGCTCTTGGACGTCGTCGATGCGGCTGTGCTGTCCAAGTGGCGCCACCTTCCGAGCTGCCACCGCCTGGTTGATGATTTGGTGAGGAAACGGAGGTGTGATGATGTGATGTAAGATGTTTCTGTGTTAAGAGTTGTAGGCATGGTTCTAAAGGGCCAACTGAGCCTGTTTGCAAAATAAGTGTTGGGGAGTATACGTGATACACAGCAGGACAGGCACCAAATGGAACCTTGAGTAGCATCAGAAGTCGAAGGTTTTGCTTGGTGCTCAATACGAAATTTGTGACATCGTGGCCGTTGTTAGGAACGCTTCTTGTTCATTCATATTGCGATCTCACGGCCTGTGATGTGCATCCTTGGTGCAAGTCGGACTTGAGGATCTGAGCATTCCGATGTGGTCCTCACTTTGATATTGGGATCGCACCAGGGATTGCACCAGCGTAACGCTTGAACTCTCTTTTTTCGCATATTGATCACACATGTCCGCCCCCGCAGTTGACCTGCCTTGTGCGCATCACGAGCGCCCACCCCGGAACTTTGACTCGCGACGTCTTTGTGCGGCTCCGCTCGGTGGTTCTCAACACGGCCATCAGCCAGAGCCGCTCGGCGGGGGCCGCAGAGTGGGCCGGGGAGCTGCCCCAGGAAGCCGACCAGGTCAGCAGTCGACTGCGGCTGCTTTTGTGAAGAATCTCCACATCTCCTGTTCTTGGTAACCGCTTGGAAGCAGAGAGGACCCTGTAGAAAGGTCCGTCGCCTGAAAACCCAGTCATTGCAAACGTTGATCAGAGTGTATGTCGTCCTCATCTCTTATTCGTTTGTCACACTTCGACCAGCCATTAAAACGCCACCATGACCTGCAGATATCTCCCCTGGCTCGGTGCGCCCTGCGTGCTGCCGCGGCACTGCTGCATGACACGTGGCCGCAGGACGAGGCGGTGTGCCTCACGTTCATGCTGGCGCTGGGCTCAAACGCGCGTCCCCAGGAGGGCGACAGCGGCACGACTGTAGTGTGGCGCAGGAACCTCATCACCCTAGTTGCGGAGCTGGCGCTCGAGGCAGGGCTGCCCAAGGTGGTAAGCAGCCTGGGTAAAAGGATGAGTTTCTTGGATGCATAATAATTTCTTCCTTCTCGTTTCTAGCAGCAGCAGCATCAATCTTTTAATCTGTGATCTTGCCGCCTCGCCCGATCTTACATTGGTTGATCGATCTCATCGGCTTTCTGGCTGCTTGTAAGCTAAGAGACCTTCCTTGACGGACCCTCCAGATACTGACTGGGTCCTCTTCTCTGAAGCAGAGTCCATCGCTAGCCCGCGTTATAAAACAGCTGTTTGCTTCAAACTTGCACTCCATTTTCCAGGCTTTAGATTGTCGTTTCCATTTCTGAGTCGTCGAACGTCGTTTCATTGTCGACAAGATCAGGAACCACGATCCGAGCACTTGAAAACAGGATAGCAAGTATGACGAAAACAGTTGTAATCCGGCAAACTTTGGGGCGATGCGCTTTTTGCAGGCGGAAGCTGTGGCGTCGGGGCTGCTGGAGACGCTGCAAGAGCCCACGGGGGCCGTAACCGGCCCGACACGGTTGCGGCTGCTGGACGCTCTGGCGAAAGTGGCGGGGCTGGGCGTGGGGACCGCGTACCGGGAAGTGGTCGTGCTGCTCGTGCGCCTCTACCTCACGCACGTGCAGGTGAGCCGGGAAGGGGTGACAGACGAGAAAGTCGAGGTTGCTCAGCCTGTCACGAGGATTGTTGACGCTCATGTGTTGTTGAAGAGCGCCTCAGTCGCTTGGGACGTGTCAGTCGAGCCGTTCCGGAGTGAGGCCTTGATCTCGAAGTCTAAGCATGGAGTGTGCTCTAGATACTGTTTTGCAGTGTCTGGCGGATGAGAATGACACGAGGCATACAGAGTCACGACTATGGTGTTACGGTGCTCATTCTTAGCACGTTCAGAGCAATTTTGTTGCTTTTGTTGAAAGTTGAACATTTTCTTGATAGGCCATGGCACCAGAAGAGTGCCTTGTGAGGGATGGATCTCCTAGCCTGTCCGCCAAAACGTCGTCGATTGTCTATGAAGACTTCATCAACCAGCATTGAGCAGCCCCTGAGTGACCTTTTGTGAAATTCTTAGTGTAAACCCGTTCCTACCTCGTGCCAGGCTTCCATGGACTCCGCTTCCACCGCCGACTCCTCTCACCGGCTCGAAGGAGACGAAGCTCTTCCCGCCGCGTTCCTGCACATCGCCCAGTCGCTCCCGGAGGGCGAGCAGCGGGCGGACTGCCGGGTACGGCTGTTGGCCCTAGCTAGCGACGTGGGGCTCATCGTGGAGTCCCGGGATACGAGCGCGGGGGGACCCAAGTGCCTGGGGAGGCTGCTGCCGGCCATAGCGGAGCTCTGCAGAGGGTGGAGCCCCGAAGCAGCCGTGCCAACACAGGAGCTTAAGGTGGGAAACCGCTGTTTACATAGCAATCACCATAAGTGTCACCACGAGGATTGGTTTGTGCGAGCTGGTCCAGAGTTTGAGTGCCCATTGATCCGTTTTGAGTACTCTCGTGCCCGGAAGATGATGTCTTCATGCTTCAAACGGAAGCCAGAGTCCTCACTTTCGTTCATTCTCTTGCCCAGATGATTCATATCTTCATTTAGACCTAAAAGCCAGAGCTCTTCATTGCTTCCCGGAAAGTTGCGCCATCCAATCTGCAGGATTTGTCTCGTTCGTTTGAGGTGCCTCTGACGTCGTCTCCCTTCCTTTTTCTGTCCTTGTTATCTGTCCAGCTGTTCCGCAACCTGTGGTTCTACATCGCACTGCTCGGATTGGGACCTCCTCTCCCCAACGCTGCCCCCAGCGTACCCCGCCCGCTGACCAAAGGAACGGCCAAGCTAGTCAATACCAGCATGCGGGCAGTTACAGGGCCCTACGCCTACCCCGCCGTCTGGATTGAGGCCGTGGAGACCATTGCCGAGGGCACTCCCCCTCTGGTGGTAAGAGTACTGGCTGAAAGCTCGCTTCGTATCGGAGAAAAAGCTAAGAGGTTGCGAATTGAAAGAGCGCACAGAATGGCCGAAAGTGCAGCTGTTGTTACCGCTATGGTTAATTTTCGGAAGCTTTCTCTGCTTCCTGGCCCGTCCAATCTCAAGCTTCGGTGTTTGTAAGTCGTCAAAGAGGAAACAGGTTCGCTAAATGGATAGCAGTCAACTGGCCGATCCCCGGATGCTCGCAATCGCAGCGCGGCCTTCCTATTCGGCTTTAAGGATCCAGTCTGCAAGATTAAGCATGATAGTCGAATCTGCACGGTGCATTTATGCCTTGTTTTCAACAAATCCATCCGAACGAAGATCTATGTAGCGTTCTTCGACGTCAATTCTGGACGGTAAGGCTGCCGGTTTTAGTCTTACCAACCATTTCGTGATTCTGCATTCCGGCCGCAGCAGAAGGTGGGGTTAATGGAGTTGCACCTAACCCTTTTTTGTTTCTTGGTGGTCTTTCTTCCAGGTGAGCAGCACGCAGTGGGTGGAGGACGAGGAGGAGCTCACCGCGCTCCACCAGCCCGGCAGCCGCAGCGGCAGCGGCAGCGAGAAGGCCGCCACGCTCCAGCGGGCCGCGCTCGCCAGCGCGCTCGCCAACAAAGTAGACGCCAACGCACTGCTCACGTGAGGCTTGCCAACCAATCAGGATCTCAACGGGCTCTTGCGTTTCGTGGTATAGCTGTCGGTTGACCTTTGATGTTGCTCGGGGTTCTCGAGGCTTCCTGCAACTGAAATACCTCGGAGTTTCCTTCGTTCTTAGTTATCTCAAAGGACAGGCTTCGCTTGTCGTGCTGGAAGTACTCCTTCTTGCTTTAAGCTGCTCCGACGCGTTGGTGTTCTATGCGAGATATTCTTTCAGAAAGAATAAGTCTAGCCATACGAACGAAACAAGCTGCGGAACGTCGCTTGACGACGTCCCTCAACATTGATCTTGCACAGTGCCGGCCTCTTCCTCACTTAACGAACTTTCTATTGTTGAGCCGGGCCGCTTCCCAGTGGCTATTCCAAGACCCACCTTCTGCTCTTGCTGCAGCATCTCCGGCGTGAAAGCGACCTACTTGCTCGCGGTGGCTTACCTGGAGATGCTGCGCCTCTCCCGTCTCGGGGGGGTCCTTCCTCCGGGCCTGCAGCGGCAGGGCTTGGCAGCAGGGGACTCCCGTGGAACGAGCTGGCTTGCCTGCACTTTCAAGTACCTGGAGGCGCCAAATCTCACCGACCAGGTCCGTTTACATACTCCAATTATTCACTCGCCTCTTTCGTAGCTTCAAAACGAAGCGTGCAGTCGCAACAAGCTTGGGGGGCATACGGGGTCGCTGCGTCGTTGAACGGAGCACAAACGCGAGGCAAAGCGACGGCCGATCATAGAGACGAAGCTTGAAACACCTTTCGCATATCACCATTGCCGAGGAAATGCTCAAGAATGTGATTGCGCTCGACCGGGGCTTGCTCAAGACAGTGTTGTCGTCTCTTCGCTTACCCCAACACCAACAAGCTTGCTCTGGTTTCTGAATTGCACTTCGTGGCTTGTAATTGCCTTTAGTGAACGACACTGTCCGCTGTCGTCGGCTCTGTTTCTTCAACCCTTCCAAGTGCCAACCCCGCATTTCCTTCCCAGGTGCGCGCCTGCCTGGAGGCCATCACGTCCCGCGCCTTCTCGTCGGCCGTGTCCACTCTGCGCCGCGCCGCAGCCACCGCAGGAGAGGAGAGCGTAGTGCACGACGCGATCGCGGGGCATGCCTGCTTCCTGCTGGGCGCCACCACGCACTTCATCTCCACAGTGGCTGACGTGGCGGACCGCCTGCTGACGCACCTGCGAAGCAGCTTCCCCGAGGTTCGTCTAACTGTAATGAGCGCTCTTTTATCGCTGATCCATTTTGATATTCTACTTCCATTTGACTTCATTCCTTCTCTTACTATTCAGGATCCTTTTGTCGGTTATGGACCGACGGCTTGCACCACATTCGGCGTTATCAACAGGGTTGTATCCCTGTCTGTTCACATAAAAGAGCCTCGTTTCTCTTCATTGAGAGAGTCTGTTTCCGGAGGTCGACTGCACGCTCACACTCTGCTCAAACCCCATCATTCTTTAAGAGGCTACCGTTTGGTCGAACGTCCACCACAATGACGAGCGTACCTGACGCACCGCTGTTCAAACCCCCTACTGCAGATCTTGTGGCACCCTCGGTGTATGACCTACATCTTGGAGCTGCTCGGCCGCGCCCCCTCCGAAAACCTGAATGCGGACGCCCAAGCGGTGCTGCAGTCTCAGAGGGCGCTCCAGGAGCGCGTCCGCGAGTGGCTGTCCCTCGCCATCACGCTCGCGCCTGTTACCATGCAAGGCCTCCTGCAGGTACACGTCAGCATCCCGCCATTGCTTGTGACTCATGCAGTGCGATCAGCATTAATGATGTGGCATCGTCCTGCGAAGCTAGGTGGGACGATAACGTCACCATGCAAGGTCTGCTGTAGGTACACGTCAGCAACCCGCCTTGCCTTTACATCCTCGGTTATGTCCTAACCAATGCCATCAGAACCATCAGACTGTATAATCTATCTCTGTCCTCTTGAGCTATGTGGGGAGTTGGCGTCACATCGTTTGCGGAGCAGGATGCGCCCTTATAATTATTGTAATGCATAGCATTCCGCCTTGCCTTTACGTCCTCATTTATGTTTTTCGCACGGCCATCCAGAATATATGACTAGCATTGTCCTACTCTGCTGGGCGGGAAAAACGAGTCACATGCAGTAGAGGAGCAGCAAGCGCAAATGCAAGTTCCCCAAGAGGCCGAAGCTGCTCATCCATCCGTTCGATGCAGTCTCACATGTGTCCTGAAGTAGCACTCTTCTGTCGTGCTCCTTCGCTACTTGTTGGCAACAAAAAATGCAAGGAGTCTTTTCCTGTAATTTTCCTCTGATTTGCATCACCAGTTTGATGGACTGCGTTGCGACTTTAGACTTGAGTGCTGATTCTTGCTGCTGCGATTGTGCGCAGGAGCATTTACAGCGGTTGCAGCAGTGGCCGGGGCCCCTGCAGTCAGGCGACTTGCTTACAGTGCTGGCCGGAGTTCAGGGAGGGCCACCTCCGGGCGGTATTCTGGCGGCCGCCACCTCCGCGGCAGCAGCCGGGGGAGCGGGGGCTGCCAAAGGCACCAGTGATGGTGTCTCCGCCGGGATCCTGGCAGGTAGGGCGGATAACAAGAGCGGATGTGCACGCCATTCTGGGACGAGGCTTTAACAGATAGTGTCCTGTGCAGGGGAAGGGGGTTGACGAGTCTCAAACAGGTCTTCTCTGCAAGGCAGCTTATGACATGGGTTCCGCTCCGACCTTTACTGTTATTCCATCTCGTAGAACCCTGTGTTGCGATCCTCACAGAAGTCCATCTAACCGCGTCCAGGATTGAATCTCCCTGTTTGGCAGCTATTTGCGATTGAAGCACGGAAAGAGCACTTGCTGATCCGCTTTGCCATCTCGCTACGCTGCTGTTGATCACCCCTCGCTCCTCGCTTCCCACCAGCGACGATCAAGTCCAAGTACGCCGGCGAAGTGGCGGGCATGCGGCGCCTTTACCAGACTCTGACCGGAGCCTCCGCCACGTCACCCCCCGGGCAGGCCCTGTCCCAGCTACTGTCGCTGGGCAGCGCTAAGTACGTCTCAGCGGAGGGGGCCAAAACAGGGCCCTCGGCGGAGGATTTCGACGAGTTACTAGTTCTGCGATTTGTGAGCAATTTGGAGCACTGCCGCGACCAGGCGCAGAAGGGGGGGCGGCCGGAGCAGGACGCGCTGCGGGAGACGTGCCTCCGAGGGGCGGCGCTGCTGCTTGCAAGCAATGTGAGTGGGTCGATCAGGGGGAATGACTTCAGTCCATTCCAGAGAAACAAGGACATTTTTGAGAGGGGATTGGGTGTGTGTTTCTTGCTGCTAGATATTAGCCCCAAGCACGAAGGAAAGGTGCCCTTCCGCGTTCCGGATCCAGAAAGGCCGCCTCGAAGCTTCTGCGACTGTTATCTGGGACCGCTATTGGTCATGAGATACACGCGTCTCTCGGTCAACAGTGTCGCTTCTAGAATCTCGAAGCATCTATCGGCCGCTACCAAGTGTGCGAAATCGAGTTCCTTTTACGCTCGCGACCTCGAATCTCTCGTAGGACGATGCTCTGTCTCGTACCTTCTTCTTTGCGGACACTGCTTCGTTTGAAGCTGCCTCTAGTTCAAGATTCCTATCATGTCATTTCACTGTTGACTCTCATGGCAATCCTTCTCGTTCGATTCGCAGCCCGGCCATTCTCAGCTCCGCCCCCCCTACCAGCGCCTCCTCCGTCTCCTCGCCTGGTGCCCCGTCCTGGTCTTCACCCCCGCTTCCCTCGAACTGGGGGTCTTCGTCTGGACTTGGCTCCTCTCAGCAGCGCCCCCCCTGACGCTGCGCCTCCTCGCTGAGCTGACCGACGCGTGGCTGCACTGCGCGGCAACTAGGCGCGGCCTCTTTTCCACCATCCCCGCGGAGCAGGGCGAGCGCGCCCTGCTGCGGCCGCAGGTGACGCCGGGAGAGTCCGAGGGACCCCCCGTCAGGGATCCCGTGGAGGCGATCCACGCGCACCGGCTGTGGCTCGGGTTTTTCCAGGACAGGTTCCAGGTGAGCCGCTTTTGAGAATCTTCCTTCAAAAGTGGGCGCCAAAGCACCCACTTTTTTGAATGCGTCGTTGCCGTTCTAGACTGCTTGGTCCAGAATGTGTGAGATGGTCCTCCTTCGGTCTTGAAGGGTCTCCGAAATAGTCGATCTCCAGGCTCTAAGGTGATCGTTGTCGGTTGAACAGGAGGTATTTGCACAACGGGTTCGGACTTGCATACTCACAACAATTGTTTTGTACTGTGGTTTCTAAAAGGCTCACTGGCTCGCTTACACTAGAGAAGCTCTTGTATCCAGCAAAGCTTCCTGTGCTCGTCTTTCTGCATACATATATGCTCGAATGTTGGCTCTCGACGCGTGTTCCAACGCCCAAGCCCCATGCAACAGTTTAGTTGTTTGATTCTTAAAATTTTTATGATTTCTTGTTTTTTGTTTTTTTTGTTTTCTTGTTTTTGTTTTACTTTTGTTCTTTTTTGGCCCTCGACACCTGGTCTGACGCTCACTCTTCATCTGCCAGGTGGCGCGCCACGGCCGCCGCGAGCAGCTGGCCCTCCTCGGCCGTCTCTTCTCCCCCTTCGCCCGCCCGCCCGCCCTCACGCGCCACCCCGCCGCAGCCGGCACCGTCTTTAACTACCTCTTACTCGGCCTAGAGTACTGCGCTGTTCGGTCCCACTCCCCCGCAGTCGATCTGCTCCACGACCAGATCCTGCGCGCGGCGCTGGCCTGGTTTGAGACCCCGCCCGCTTGGTACGACCACAGAGATGTCCTTCTGGAGAGGGCGGAAGCGGGAGCTTTGGTCGAGTTTGCACGGGCGCTTGAAAGGGGGCCGGGCCAAAAGAGGGGCGCGGAAGTGAAGGGCAAGCATCCGGTGTGGGGGATGGAGGTGCCGGGGGGGGCGGCGCGGCGCGGGCAGCTGCTGGCGAGCTTGGTGCGGCACGAGGCGGACCGGCTGCTGACGTGGGCGAACCCGCTGAAGTGAGTCAGCCGATCGCAACGGGTGGAGTTTTGGAACAAACTGTTACAGCGCCGCTGTTTGGTTCAATGTACTTGTTTCGAGATTCTGGATCACGGAGCTGTTTCTTCAAAATTGCTTCTGTCGGCTCTTGGCTAGGTCATTGACTTAGCCCTACTGTACAATTTTTACTGGAGGATCAAAGGTGGATGCTGTAAGAGGTTGTTGGCAGGTGCCAACACCCTTGTCGAACTTCTCAGAGTGAGATATGCACGGTTACAGATTCCAGCATGGTCGTCGAGAATCCATCCTACACCTGAGTCATACTTTGGCCATACCTTGACCCCTTCTTTTTTCTCCCTGCAGACAAGACGCTGTACAAAACTTCCGCTTACCCGCGTTCAGTTGGGGGGAAGCCGTCTCCACAGCTTGGGCCGTCTCCCCCCGACTTGCCATCGCGCTCGTGTCTCGCTTCCCCAGCATCGCCCCCATTCACACTGCCGTTACGTCTCTGGTTGCGTCTCATATCCCCTCCCTGATTGGCGTCGCGGAGGCTCTGCCCTTCTTCGTGACTCCTGCGGCGGTGGCGGCGGACTCTCCCGTGCTGAACCAGCTCGTTTACTGGGCGCCCTGCTCCATCGCCCAGGTACAGACAGCAGCTCTATCGATGTATTGCGGGTGTCTTCCCCCCTGTGGACGGGGAGTGCTTTTCTCTTGATGTTGGTTCTAAAGTCCTGCGGATGAACTGACAACGTCGACTGTGAGTCCGAACGCTTCTTTGAACATTTGTCTATCTTTGAGTAGACGTCGACTTTTTAGATGCCGCGTATCCACCTGCAAGCGCACTAGGGATTCAGCGTCGCACAAGTATTTCCCTTGAGTCCGCAAGTCCGACTTCCGATCATTTTTAAACGTGTTTTCTGAGACGAGAGCATACTTTCTTGATGGTAGGCTAAAAGCAGACTCAGAGTGTTTCCGTCCGCACATCTCCTCGCTCCGTTTCCATCAAGGTGCTAAAACTACAGAACCCCGTGTTTGCGAGCCACCAATGCGCTCGCTTCCTTCAGGGTTAGCTCAAAGCAGACTCGAAAACAAACCCGTTTAGAATGCTTCTTCTTCTCCTTTCACCGCAGGCGCTGGACCTGCTGACCCCCGCGTTTGCGGGCCACCCTTGCGCTCGCTTTTTTCAGGCTTAGCCCAAAGCTGTCCGTAATAGATTCCTCTACCATTTTTGCTCCTGTCATACGCAGGGGCGGACCTGCTGACCCCGTATTTGCGGGTCGCCCTTTTGCTCCTTTGGCTCGCTTATATTAGGGTTAGCTCAAACAAAGTCGAAAGTGCTCCTTACCCCCTTTGATCGCAGGCGCTGGACCTGCTGACCCCCGCGTTTGCGGGCCACCCGCGCGTGATGGCGTACGTGCTGCGCGTGCTGCAGGGGTACCCCCCCCAGTCCGTCATGTTCTTCATGCCGCAGCTGGTGCAGGCGCTGCGCTACGACCACGGCGGCCTCATCGAGGGCTACCTCATGGCCGCCGCGCAGGACAGCAACCTCTTCGCGCACCGCCTCATCTGGCAGCTCCAGGTGCGTCATCGCGCTGCGACAAGTTTGAGCTTAGCCCATATGGACATCTGTGCAGGTTGTCCGATTCGGTGTGTACCAGGATTGCCGTCCTGCTTTACGGCACAAGTTGGTCTTCACACCGGTCACTACAACTCTTTCTGTGGTAATGGGCGCCTAGGCTGCATTGGTACTAAGTTTTCAGGGTTTGAGGATTTCGCCTTGCTTCGTATGTGCTGGCATGCTCAGGGCAAGCGGCCATTCAGACATGTTTGAGGATTTCGCCTTGCTTCGTATGTGCTGGCATGCTCAGGGCAAGCGGCCATTCAGACATGTCTGCAGCACGATTCCGCTTGCTGCTTATCGGAGGAGTTGACACAGTCCGCTGTCCCCTCCGCGTCGAATTTTGCCAACCGTTTATCTGGCAGACGAAGCCGTTTCATAGCCTTTATTATTCAAAGAACTCTCTCGTGCGATGGCGTCTACAGGGCGAAGAGGCCCCCCCTCCCGGCGAGGCGGACCCGAAGCACCCGGTCGCGCCGAACGCGCTGTGGGACATCGTGGGCCGTGTGAAGCAGCGCATTGTGGACGGGTTCAGCCCTGAGGCGCGCAGCGTGTTCGAGCGCGAGTTCCACCTCTTCGACAGTATCACGGCCATCAGCGGCAAGATCAAACCGCTGCCGAAAGAGCAGCGCCGGGCCGCCATTAAACCGTGAGCACGCGTCGCGCAAGTTCTCTCTCTCGGGGCAGTTGTCTCTATTTTGGGCTGTCTGATTGGAGCGATTATTTCCTCCGGTTGAGTTCCGCTGGTCCTTTTTCTTGGCTTACGTCAAAGCCTTGGTTGACAGTGCTCAACGGGATAGCTGGAATGGTGGGTACTTGGAGCGTAACTTGTGCGGCTGGCATCCAGTCTCTAAAGCATAAGAGGACTCTGTAGTCGGCACTTGTCAAAGCACACGTCATCTGGGCACGGCTGGGACAAGCAGCTGCCCTCACACGCTAACAATGCCCTGAAGACCACCAACGAAGTGAATCCTCTTTCTCACGTGTTGTGGACCTCATTGCTGCCGTGCCGAAAATGCTCTTGGGAATAGGGGAGAACCCTGCGCTTGCAAGCAGGTGACGTCAACATGTGTGCGTTTGCATCGCTTGGGAGGGCATCGAGGTGGAGGGCGGGCACAGTTACCCATAGAGTCCCCGAAGGGCTCTAGAAAACTTGCGTCAGGAAGCTGCTGACGTCGAAGATCGTTCTCGCAGGGCTCTGGAGGGCATCGAGGTAGAGGGCGGGGACTGTTATTTGCCGACGGCCCCCGACAAGCTGGTGGTGGGCATACAGCGTGACAGCGGCGTCGCGCTCCAGTCGGCCGCCAAGGCGCCCTTCCTGCTGGCTTTCGACGTGCGGGACAGGACGGGGGATCCCTCCGCGGTGCACACGCAGGGCTGCATCTTCAAGGTACGGTAAAAAGGATTTACTAAGGGAAACAATGGCTGCCTGGCCAGTAGGTTTACAGATCTGGAAAAGATTGTCTGCCTGGCAACGAATGAGACGGACAACGAGGTTGCTTGCCCGACGAGGGACCACACGGAACGCAAACGCACGCCCGCTCAATGTCCCTAGTACTTGGACGAAAACCGCGACTGTCCGCAGTATGCACTTGGTATTCATTTGCTATCTGACACTTTCATTTCAGGGGTGCGGAAAAACTTTGTACTTCGGCCTCTCGAAACGCAGTCGAAAGTTTGTTCACGGCTGAAAGAGGAGCTTAATGACCTTCAAAAATACAGCTCGCCGTGCGTCTGCTCGTGTCACAGCATCTTTTCCTCCCTGGCACGTGCGTCTCAAGGAATCAAGAAGTTTGCATCAAATACTTTGCGGAACCTGCTACTGACCAGAACCGCGGCCGCGATGCGAGCTTCGCGAGTGTCTAATGACGTGTCACCTTGCGTCTGCTCGCAGGAGGGCGACGACTGCCGGCAGGACGTGCTGGCTCTCCAGGTCATCTCCCTCCTGCGCGACATGTTCGCCGCAGTACACCTGGACCTCTACCTCTGCCCGTACGGCGTTCTGCCCACCGGGTACGAGCGGGGGATCATCGAAATGGTGCCTAACACGCGCAGCCGCACCCAAATGGGCGAGGTCACGGATCACGGCCTGTTTCAAATGTACCAGCAGGACTACGGGCCGGTCGGGAGTGCCGCGTTCGAGGCGGCGCGGAATAACTTCATTGTGAGTTCGGCGGGGTATGCGGTGGCGAGCCTGCTGCTGCAGCCAAAGGACCGGCACAACGGGAACCTGCTGTACGACAACAAGGTGAGACCCGGCCTCCCGTCATTGTTTCCTGCAGTCGCGCGTTCCACCATGTAATGTGTCTTGCACCGATCTCCAATCCGCTTCCCGTACAATTGCATCTGCGGTGGGTTTGCAGTGCAGCCCAACTGCGACAAGGGCCGTTGATTGACGTTTGTTTGCAAGTGGATCTGACTTGAGGACATTCTTTGGACATTTTGCCACTCCCGAGACGCAAGAACTTTCCAGTAGAAGGGCGTGTGGCAGGACTTGAGCTTTTGAGTCGTTTCAACCTGTTCCGCTCCTCCGACGGGCGGCAGAAGAAGCATTCTCAAAATTTCCCGCCACAGTGTTCAGCTAGCTCTCAACTCTTGGACGGCAAAGCTTAAGTGCCAGCTTGCCCTGCGTGCAGGGCCGGCTGGTGCACATCGACTTCGGGTTCATTTTGGAGATCTCGCCGGGCGGCAACATGCGCTTCGAGAGCGCCGACTTCAAGCTGAGCCACGAGATGACGCAGCTGCTCGACCCCAGCGGGGCCATGAGGAGCGACTCCTGGGCGCGCTTCGTCAGGTCAATTAACGCAGGGGGTTCCTATGTCTGATTTAATCAAGGGGCGTTGCTTTTAATGGTCCTGACTCCAAAGCTGCTTTTCAGTTTCGGGATGCTTCTGGGACCGATATTGCGAGTGGTATTCAGACCCTGTTTCGTCACTCTTTGTATGCCTGATCGCAGCGTGCCCGACCAAGATCTCGTCGTTTCTTTCCGGTCCTCCTCGTCGTCATTGTGTTGTCAATTCGGTACTTCAATCCTTCCACAATCCAAGGCATAGTAGCTCTAAGCCCCTGCGTACCCCTGCTTCCACGCTTCGCGGCCCTGTGCAGCGCTTCTGCCCGAGCGGTCGGCCTTTTCACACTCCTAACGCCCATCTCTGTGCAGCCTGTGTGTGAAGGGCTACTTGGCGGCGCGCGTCCACGCGGAGGCCATCATCTCGACCGTCAATCTGATGGTCGACAGCGGCCTGCCCTGCTTCAGCCGGGGGGACCCCATGGGCAACCTTCGCAAGAGACTGCACCTAGAAATGACGGAGAGGGAAGCCGCCAACTTCATGATCGCCACGTGTGAGGACGCGTACAACAAGTGGACGACCTCCGGCTACGACGTCATCCAATACCTCCAGCAAGATATTCAGCACTGAAACGTGCAGACCAGAACACATATGCTCGATCACAGCCGAGTTTTTGAAGACCAGTGCGTATGCGTTGCATATGTTAAATAAGAATTTGCAACTTCCATTCTCAGGTGTGCCTTTATTCAAACAAGTCTGAGAAGTTGAGAACAATGTGTCTCTGTTCGTTTGCCACAGCCGTTTCCGTTGGCAAGCTACCCAATGCTTATGGCGTTCGGTACGTCTATGGTCTTGAAATTGGCTGGCAGCTCCGATTGCAGCTGCATGCCCGCCTTGATTCCCGTGTCGATCACAAGCAAAGCGGCTTAGGTGCTGCAGAAAGATGAGTGGCATGCTAGGACATGTTGTAAGCTCTCCGCCGCTTTGTTTGTCGATCCACTTTGTGACATTCGTTGGTACCGTCAATTGAGTCCACTCCAGCCACAGCACGCATTCGGTATTGATCTTGTTACTAATTATGCAACCGTCCCATAACTTTGGCGCAACACAACATGTACGGAACCGATCGCAGCGTGCCCGCGCTAGCATGTGGCTGATTGATCCAAATCCATCAATGCTTTTGGAGATCCAAACTCTGAAACTCACCGGGGGCGGCTCTCCTCAGGGTAATGATTCATGCAAGTCAGTTCGACTCTCGTTGTATTGTCACAGTTATACATCGCCACCAGGCACTGTTGGTGCCCACTGACCCAGCATCCGAGCGCCTTTAAAGCGTTCAACCTAGCGCATTCGAGTGCCTTGAGCACTCACCCAACGCGCCAGTACCATCGGCAGTTCAGAAGAAGCGGTACCGTACCAGCAGCGACAACACCAAACATGGGGGTTGGAAAACCATACGTAGAACACTAGAAGGGATATAAGTACGTACGAACATGACAGTAACTTGATTGGCAATTATAGCCTTTTACTTGCCTCCCTTGGGACATCATACGATTGACATGGCCCAAAAACGGAGGCATTTTCATTCGTGATATCCTATCCTTTTTATTTCGGAACCCTTACCGGGTTGACCGCGTTGAGCGACTACCCCCCCCTTAACCCCGGCAGTTTCCCTGCTTCGAACACCGGAGATTTTGAACCCCGTACTAAACCCTTCATCGCAAAACTTTCAAGGGTTCCGAGGACATTCTAGTTGAAATGATGGCGGCATGGATTCATGGAATGATGACATGGACATTATGCACATTCTGGCCCACGCCTGGCCAGCTTTTCCGCTCAGGCAGCGCTGTCATGCACACTGCACACGCAGCATGCACACGTACTGCACAACGCAGTCAACAGAGTAGCCAAGTAATATTAGTGCTACCGGTATGCAGTCAAAAGTAGTAGTGCAATGCGGTCAACAGTAGTGCAATGCAGTTGACAATTACAATGGTGACGTGCAGGCTGATCAGGAACATCATATAGGTCGGTATACAGGACCCTGGCCAAAGATGCCGTGGATTTCGGGGTGAACACCAAAGAAGTTCTGCCACTCGAAGGGCGAGGGACCAAGGATTACACAGCAGCCGGGTCTCATGCAAGTTGCCGAGGGGTTTTGTCCAGGCCTGCATTCACTTGTGCAGCTTCGCATGAAGCCGGGTTTTAGCTGCCACCAGACATAATGTGGTGGCAACAGCTATCAGACCTTAGCCCCTCTTCTGAGAGAATGGTCTTTCTTGGTTGTTGGTGGTGCGATGTGCAGCAGACGCGATAGGCCACAGATTCAAAGGCGCACTGACCATGGTCGTCATCTGCAGGAGGATGCAGACTCTAGTTTGACTGCAGCTATGACCTAAGGTGAGAGGTCATAGCGATTGAGGGTCAACAACGAGCAGTCTCTCCAAGCTCTCAAAGTTGCTGCATCGAGCAGTGGGAACTTGAGCGGCCATCAACAAGCAGGACCGCTCCACCATGTTTCTTGTCCCGAGGTAGAGCTTCAAACCGACTAACATGTGAGTAGGCACCTCGCTTGGATCGTAGACTGCGCTACGGGGCGCATTACTTCAACCCTTGAGATCTGAGATTCCCAGCAGATGAAAGAGGATTCGGAGCACCTGTGTTGTGGGGTCACAAGCTACTGGTGCCGTTCCTTAAGCAATTCACAATGAGGTTACCCCAATCACTACAATATTCCCAGCTTCATTCTAAATCTATGAAGACTGCCTACTTGCTTTTGGTGACAGACTGCCAATCTGCCTTTCTACGTTCTTCTTCTCTACACTCTCGACGCACTCTGCCACAACGGACGTCTACTGCTTGTTGGACCCTGCCAAGTTGAGAGTGTAGCACAAAGAAAACAAGGCTGGCTCTTCACTTGTGGTGCCCCACTGAGATGTTGCATCAAGCTCCTTGACATGAACCTCTTACCTCAGTAGTTTGCCGAGGTTTGGAAAGGCTCCCCCAGGAAGCAAAGCATACCCCTTCTTTGCAGAGAATAGCGGGCATCAACATGACGTACCTTTGGAAAGCACGGTCGACGGGGCTCCTTGTAGCCCTGGCCCTGCTTGCGCTACCAAAGCAATGCCGCTCTGCTTCAACATTGGTTCCGCCCCCAGGTCAGTTCCCATATCAGTCACAACATCTTCTAAACTCTTCTGACCTCTTCATCTTCTTCATGGCGGCTCGCCAGCTTGGCTTTTTGATAGTAGGCTTTGGAGGGTTCGGGAAGACTGTGCTCTGTCTTAACAGCTTGATCAGGTACCATTATGGACTTTCCTTTGCAGTTCTGCTTCGACCGGTGATTTGAAGGGCGCCGTCCAGAGGACTGGAACTTGAGCAGAGAATAATCCAAGGATTGATACTGCTGTCAGACTGGTTGATTCCTTTGTGCCTGCTCCGACAGTCAACCGCTCCTACGTAGTCCCCAGGACTTGAACTTCTTTCACAGTTAGAATTGTTTTTTCCAGCAAATCTTGTGTCTGACCTTCCTGTTCCGTGTTGACCTGCATGAGGGGTTCAGGTTTGGCCGACATGTCATTTTGATCACATGGCAGCTTGAGGAACCCTCATCGCTATGAGCAACAAGGGCGCGGAACACAAGTCAAAATCTTCAAGCTTGTTGTTGTGCACTCTTCTGGTTTCAACTGAGGAGCGGTACTTGCCTGGTATGGGGTCGCTGGACCGATTCTGACTCTCAAGACAAAAGATCGGCCTTCTGTAAAAGCTAGCCCCCTTCTACTTTGCAGCTATCTGCCCGGACAGCGGCTTCCCAAACCAGGCAAGTTTGATCACCAGCTCTCTGATTGCAGATTACATGTCACCCCTGGTTGTGGGTGGGCCTCTTGACTTGAAAGTCGAAGGCTGCGTGCACGCATGGATTCAATGCCTTGGAGACCTCATGGGGAAAACATCAGGAGCTAGCTTTCACGCCGATGGTTGCAGGCGATCACTTTGTTTTATGGCCTGCTCACACCTTTGAGAAATGTTATGAATGACCAAGTTCGCTACATGGCATATTGACTGGGAGTTTGGCACCGGATTGTAGCTTCTCAAACTGCTCCATGAGCTTTGGATATCCTCGGATGTGGTTATGCTGACTTTCCTTCGCCAGAGGTTCATCAGTGATCACTCTGCCTGATTCGTTACCATCTTCAGTTTGGCTCAGCTTCAAACGTCATCAATCTATTGGCGGTTCTACATCCTCAATCAACTGATCAGCTTATGGGTCATAGTCATTAACAATGCAGTAATCAAGGATTCCGTTGAAGTAACGCGACATGTCCATTTGCTTCTGCAGTGCTTCACCGCGGATCGCAGTGACTTCGTCTGCTGCACCGCTGAGTGCGGACCCGTAACTGATAACCAGGCCACTTGCTTGGACGAGCAAACCGGGGCAACTGCAACCTCAACTTCAAACCCGCCCCCGCCGCCTCCGAACCTGCCTGCAAACCCGCCCCCAATTCCAACTCCAACCCCATCCCTAACCACAACCCCAACCCCAACCCCAACTCCAACCGCAACCTCGACTCCGACACCAAACCCAATCGCATCTGTCCCCAACGGCGAGCTTGTTCCCAGCTTGGGGACGCCTGCGCCAGCCACTATCAGCAGTGCCCCTGAGGGATCCCCCGACGCCCTTGCCCCCACTTCCCCCCCGGCACAAGCACTCGCACCAACAGCCCAACTGGTTACCGCTACCGCTCCGTCGCCCAGTTCCTCGACAAGTACTGCATCTTCACCTTCACCTGCTAGCGGACCTGGTAACCCGCCACCTAACCAGAGTGCAAACCCCCCTGCATCAGGTGAGCAACTGGGATTGGAGAGTAGATGGGGAGGACTTCCCCGAGGAGTCTTTTTTGGAGTTGATTGACTGTAGGAGAACGACGAAAGACTGGCAGGAAATGCAGAGATACTCATCTTCTGGCATGATACTTTCCCCGTTGCTTACGTTGGGGTGAGGGCGGTAGAGAAGCCCAGCAGATTGCGGGATTTGCGCCTTTGTTGCACGGTGAGACGGCCTTCGCAATTTTACCCGCACGGCTTGCCCTGTCGGAACTTCGTGTACTTTTTTTCTCTGCGGAGCTCCCACGGTTGGGGGCCAACGTGCTCTAACTGACATGAACGGTAGACAATTGGAAAAGCAAAGCTTGGGTGTTTCTGTGCTATGCTGTTTCCCCCATTTCTGGTCTCTCATCTGGTACGATCGTTTTTGGCAGTAAACCCCGGCCCCTCGACGACACGTCTTCTTGACATGTTTCAAAATCCTTCCGATACGTTCAGAAACTTGCAACCAAGGGTGCATTCTTCGTGTGTGGGCTTCTTGGGTAACTGCTCGAGCCTGAGTCTTGCACCCATCGGTGGGACGCACAGGGTCCGCTTCACCTTCCCCAACTTCGCCGCACCACTCATTTCCGCGCACATAGCCGCCTTTGCCGTTTCCCCTCTCCTCATCTCACCCGCAAAGCGCACCCCCCCAAGAAGATCCATCTTCAAGCCATCACGTCACAGGCACCCCCCCACCACCCTTCCGGGGATCCACCCCCCCGCTTGGAAACCCCACTGCGTCGCCCCCCCCCGGTACGACTCTGAGGGCCTTCACGACGGTTACCTCGGAAACCCCCCCACCGCCTCGCTCACAACCAGCCCCCCGAACAGCCATCCACCTCCGCAGGGGGTTGCGCCCCCCCCGCCGAAGGTGTCCGCCCCGCCTCCGCCGGTCGTGAAAGCACCCCCCCCGCCACGAGGTCGCGAAATCCCCCCCGCCGCCCGAGCAGGGAGCACCCCCGCCGCCCAAGCGGGCACCTCCACCGCCCCGACAGGCGCCCCCGCCGCCAGGTGAGCAAGATTTGCGAATTGCATTTTCCGACAGTCAGCAAATCGATCGTCACTCTGAGCATGTCTTGTGGCTTTAGGCCACCGTAAAACCCAAGCAGGATGTTGAAAGCATCGGCGGCGCATCTATAGATTCCGGTGGGGCTCGTTTCTTCTAAGTCTTGGTCTCTCCCATTTCTTGACCGGGAAGGCGACCCTAACCAACGCGTGCGTCCCCTCACCTAAGTCTGTCTGCTATCAACCTGCTTTCTGGGTCCTTCCAATGCGTGAGCGGTTCCTCGCCCCGACTCAGCCGTGCTCCTCTCGCGCGCATCTAAATCCGGAAGCACACGAAGGACACTAACCTGATTGGTCAGCCTGACGAAACCCGTCTTCCCTGCCTGCAGTTCCAACCAACCGCACCTTCACCGTCCGCAACAACTGCGCCCAAACGGTCTGGGTCGCCCAGTTCAGCGTCCCGGGCTACACCCCGTTGACCACCACCTCGAACCTAACCCTAACCACCGGCCAAACCGCCGTCTTCACAACCGACAACACCTGGATCGGTCGCATCTGGGGGCGGACCAGATGTGGGGGATCCCCTTTCCGCTGCGCCACGGGCGACTGCAACGGCGCCACGTGTGCCAAGGGCGTGACGGGGCAACCTCCGGCCACGCTCGCGGAATTCACGCTCGCGCAGCCTCGGGGTTTGGACTTCTATGACGTCAGCGTGGTTGACGGGTTCAACCTGCAGATACAGGTACGGAAGAGACTTTCCTTTTATCCAGATTGTTTGGAAACCTGTAATAACTAGGAGGGCCGTTATGAAAACGAGAGCGCGATGGGGGAGATGCGTGATCTTACCTGACAATTGAGGGAAGTCGATTAACCATTTTGAATCGTTATACATCGATCTCCAACTCCTTGTTAAAGACGTCAGTTCTTGAGTTCTAATTGTTGAGCTCAGGCAGGTGGTACGACCATGGCTGACTCTCAACTATTATGATCGTCCTATAGACCCTTGCAGAGCGCAGCGACAGCTCCGTGATTTTGCAAGCCAGTGTGAAAAGCACCTACAATCCTCGGTATTTGTCCCGTCTTGGATTTGTCCGGTTTCGACCTCGTTTTGAATCCAGAATTAGTCATGCAAGCTTCGTTTCTCGCGCAGATCAAGCCGAGCAAGTCCAGCTGCCCCACGATCGGCTGCGTCGCCGACCTGGTTAACAACGGCGCCTGCCCGGCGGTCCTCCAGAAGAAGGACGCCTCCGGAAAAGTTGTCGGGTGCTACAGCGCGTGCTCCGCTCCAGCGATGACGACCTCCCCCGACCGCCCCAAGTACTGCTGTACTGGGAACTACAGCCTCCCCGGGCCGTGCCAGGCGGTGCACCCCGACCAGTTTTCCTCCGTGCTCAAGACGGCTTGCCCCACGGCGTATAGCTATGCGTACGACGAGAACAATAACAGCCTCTCCCAGTGCCCCGGGGGCTCCGGTGACTACGATATATTCATGTGCTGGGGGGCGTGAGGGCGATAACAGCTTGTGAGGCTGTGGGTCCTAGAAACGCCAGGATTACTTCGAGCCTGATCGAAGTACTTGTGTCGAAGTATAGCTATTCTTCGTGAGTTGTTTTCAGAGAGTCAAATAAAGGGTGCAATCGCGGAGTATAGCTCGAGATGAGAAAGCATCTCATCGGGTTGGACGCTGAATTAGAAGACCTTCAAAGCTTTCAAAAGACAGCATAAGTAGCTAGGCGTTCTGGACACATTGTTCGGTCTTGCCAAAAGCAGATTGAAAGATTTGCTTTAGATCATCGAGTTGAGGTAGAAGCAGGTCACCTTATTCGTTCTTGCCAAAAAGAGATTGGAAGATTTGCTTTAGATAATCGAGTTGAGGTATGAGCAGGTTAGACTGAAGGTTAGAGATGTTGGGTAGGCTAATGATTGCTTAAAAAGCTATTTTGCGTTTGTTACAAACCATAGCCTTTATGGATCATGCAGACCAGTGCACAGACATAGCTAGACTTATCGATAGCGGTGAAGCTGACCTGGAGTAGGGAAATTAATCCAGATAACTAGGGCCTTGCCTGGTTTAGTCAGTTTATTGTTGTTTTTGGTAAATACGTTATGATGGATTGACGCTTGCAGAGAAACTGACATGCGGCTTCGTCGTACGTTGACAGTTAACCGGCAATCAGCTAGAATAAAATATCTCCTTTTGAACTCCAATCTTCCATGCATTTTGTTCGTCTTGGCGCCATGTACGCCCACGTGCAGGTGCTTCAATGTATAAAAGACGTATGAAAAGTGACCGTCTCGATTGCCGACAACGACGACTTGGGTGGATGACATAGCCATGCAGTCGAAACACTGAGCTCAATATGCACAGGGCACTTTCGCAATCAACCAAGGCCCAACCAGACCGGCCTGGTTGACGGGCCTCAACCGGGGTCTGGTTGACCGTCAACCGGGCAGGGCGTGGTTGGGATCGACTTCTCCAGGACTGGTTGACGTCAACCATGACCGGTTGATCGTCAACCGGGGCGGGACTGGTTGACGGTATTCTTGACCAGAGCACGGTTGACCACCAATCAGGGCGGGCCCGGTTAATGGTCAGCCACAGAATGCTTGGCGCCTGGTTGATGATTGGTTGAGCAGAAGGAGGAAACGTGTACAGTCGTTAGAAAAAACTAGCGAGATCAACCGGGCAGGTTGCACCGTCGCAAGGTACAACGACTCTTACAGGAAAAGAGGAGTCAAGCTCAAGAGAGTCGGCAAATTCTCAGAAGGCAATCGAACCAGGCAAGTCCAAGATTACCAACACACGCAGCAGCCTTCCCTGAATCAGACGAAGCGCCGAGTAAGGAAACCGTGTTACCGGAAAGCCTTGCCATTCAGCGTTTCAACCTTGGTCATGACATAGACTGCCGAGAAATGCGGATACCGTTGCAGGAGCCGCGAGGAAGCAACTTCATCCATTGTCCGACCAGGAAGTCAGAATAACGCGTGACAACGATCAGGTTGGAACATGTACGTGCAGAACGCTTAGGCAGAATCTTTGGAAGCCTTGAAATACGAGCTCCTTCCAAGATACACAACAAGTGCCCAATACAGAAGTCTGTTTCCTTCCATTACCAAGAGCGTCTCGCTGCATCGACGACTGTCCTAGTTTATCCCTAGGCCGATGACGCCTTCTATTGTGAGTGTACGACCTGCCAAGAGAAACAAGGAGGAACACGTAAAACTCAACCCGAGCCGCTTTTATTGCAGAGGAAGGGCCCAAGCATTCACAGCAAGCTCAAGGCGGGGTGCCAATGAAGTACGAGACGCGCTTCATTCGTGCACTCGTTGCTTCTTCGCCACGAGCGTGAGGTGCAGATTCAAACCGGAGAATTTCAATCCGATGCCCAAACGCCGACGTTCGTTTCTGACGTCTCCCTTCTCGGACCTTTCTCAAGCTTCCGCCCCGGAACATGTTGTAAGTTGGAACGGGATAAGATATGTGAGACGAAGTGCGAAAGTCCGAAGCGTCTGATGTTTCTCATAATATTCACGATCGTTCCCCATCATCCATTACGGAATTGGCCGCCACTCTAGAAAGGCAGCATCCTTACCGCAGTGTTCTGTCCCCTGATCATGAGCTTCCGTTTTTTCCGTTGGGGTCGCACGCTCTGGAGATCCAGACTTCCCGCTGACCGGTAAAGTGCACTATCCTTTGCGAGTTCTGCAGAATAGACAAGAGAAAGAGGGACTCGGGTAGGTTCATCGATGCACAACGAAAACTTTAGAGCAGTCCGTCCGCAGTTCAATCCCGGAATCCTGCCTTGTTTACAGAATGCCGTGTCGCTTAGATAACTGTGAGAAGAGTACTGTCGTAATGGTTTGCGGCAAGTAGAGGTGGGGGGGAGATCGAGTATTGTGAGATGTTTTGAAATTTCCGAAGGTTACGGGGAAGAGAAAATACTTGTTTGAGACATGTAGACGTGGCGCCCACTCGAAGGGCCGTTCTTCTGGCGGTGAGGAATTCTGGCCATCTAATTTTCTTTGCTGACGTGGCAAGCTGTGAGTGGTCAGCGACTGGCTGTCATTTCCGTCACTATTTCCTTTCGCTTCGGTTCCGTGCCAAGGATTTTCGTTCCGGTTAGTACGTCGCCCAGACGTCGTGCATTCGAAAGCAACATGTTCCCACAAAAGAAGTGAGAGCGTTCTTCACTTGGCCGGAGCGCCTCGAACCGAAAGTTGAACAGCTGCCTGGTGGGCCCTAGCGTAGCGCGGCGGGGAGGATGCTCTCCCAGAGTATGATGTGTCCGCACCAGAAGAACCGCAGCCGAACGTCCGGGACCTGCGTGAACAACCGCTCGTACACCTCGGACGTCGGCTGGAGGTGGCCGCCCTCGACTGGCGAGCGCGCGCGCATCTTCAACCTAGCGGGGCCATGAGGAGCGACTCCTGGGTGCGCTTCGACGTCAGGTCAGTGCCGCAGTCGTTTGTTTCCGTCTCGGAATCCGTGCTTGTTCCCGTTGAGAGAATCTGCTTTTAGTCCCGACCCCGAAGCTGCTTCTAGCTTCGTGTTGAACAAGGACTCGTACATTCCAAGCTCCTTTCAAAACTTAAATTGTCATTGATTGTATGCCCGTTCGTAGCGTGCTCGACCGTTGTTTCTCGTCGTCGTCTATATTCCAATCTGAGTCTTCATTTCAAGACTGCTGGTACCTTCGATTTTTCTCCAATTTATGGTAGCTCTGAGCCCCGGCATACACCTGCTTCCAAGCTTTCCTTAGGTGCTGCAAAAGAGTGAGATTGCATGTAAATTCATCCCATGTTGTAAGCTTCCGCTTTGTTTGTCCGGCGCTCTTAGAGATTCGTTGAACCAACTGAGGCCGCAGCACGACTTTGTATCAATCTTGTTATTACGTTGTAACACAGACCACATGCAACATGGCGGGCACTGCAGCATAAGCGGCCCAATGCATGTATGCGTAAGACATGTGCGCTGCATACATGACATGTCGTACAGCGTATCACTGTGCAATCCGGCAAGAAAGCTGCTCAATGAGCGACAAACTTAAGACGGTCGTCGTTGAGTCGGCCATCAATCAGCTATACCGCCCACGCCAAGTTGGAAGGCTCGGTGCCGCGGAGGCCGCTTCGGCTGGCATGCCTGCCAAGCAATTTGACTGGTGCCATTGAGGGCGGGCAGTGAGGGACACCTTATACGCGCACGATATAATACTCCTGCCAAATTTGCGAGGTACTAGTGGTGTCCAAGTCAGATGAATAGTACTTTCTAGACAAATACTGATCTTTCAATGAGCCCAGCTTAAAGTGCAAGAACAGATTTGACACAATTCAGCCCTAAATCCCCATCGTTTACCTGCTCCTTACCTGTGCCCACCCTATACTGACACCCCCTTCATTTCTTACCAACCCGTCCAGGCAGCATGTTCTGGTTTAGTGTTTTCTTTGATGTACTACATTCCACAAACCAACTGGGCATTCAAAGCTGCGCTGCGAAGTGCCGGAAACAGCTGCGCCGCCAGCTGCAATACAGCTAGCCCTACGATGGATGTATGCTGACAGATTGAAACAAGAATCAGCTCGTAGGATACACTCAACTCTAGAATCCTCCTGTTGCAAATACATTAGTTCTTCATCTCAGGATTGAGTATACTTAGATGCATGGTTGACGGCGAACATGCACATGGAGACACAACCCCCGCGACAGCTTCCCTGCACAAAAATGGCAATAGGGGGAAAAGGGATTGTTTTTGGAAGCGGCCAGGACTGTCTTACAGACTTCGTCCCGTAGCAGGCAACGCAACCCGCGCAAGGACGCATCCTGCGGAGATCCCGGGCTCGATCAGTCGTCGTTTCGGTTGACTGCTTCGATTCTCCAAGGGTGTGGCAACTCGACCACTCCGCCAACTCAAAACGTGGAAGTGGGGGATTCCATGTAGATGTACATAGTGGTTACGTCCCCATTACGTCCCACTGCAGAGAATAGACCCGAAAAATAATTTGTGTGCAGAAATCAACTGCCTAATTTGGTCGGTTCGACGATTCATCGGTTGAGACCACCGGTTAGTGTTGTTCACGGTCTCTTGTCCAAAGAAAGACGAGGTTGCACTCCCTGCCAGGCTTTTGTGGGGGGCCCCTGTTGGGGCGACATTCTGGAAAAAGGCGCCCGGGGAAGGGTGTGCGGTTAGTGTGTCGGTTAGGGTAGAATCAAGTGCGGAGGGCGACGGTCCCCAGCACTCCCTCAATATGATATCAGTGTGTGCAGCAACCGAATACACATTTATCGACGGCTAGGAATCTTCAGGAACTTTCATCGACGACCGTCATCGCAGATATCGCACGCCGGTCCAGCATTCTACATGCAATGCTGCTTCTGCACAGCAGATCAAAATGCACAGGTAAGAAGATTGAGTGCCCTGAGGTTCAGTAGCTGTCCTTCTGCTTGGAGCAGCTTCTAATTTTGTGCCCGCCTGTAGGTAGTTTCCTGAGTTCCTGGCCTGCTCCTGGCAGGCTACCATCGCTGCTCATTGACGGGACGCAGCTTTGAAACAGCAATCTGCACGATGGAGGAAGGCAGGGGCACTCCCAACAGTGGTTTTGATGAGGCTGTAAATGAAGACCTTGAACAGATCCAGGTCAGGGGAAAATCTTAAATTGAAACATGCTGCATGTCGCAATGGAGACTGTTGGTCTGATGGAAGAGACGGCAGCTGACTGCAACATTGTGACAAATCAAGACTGGCTTGCTGCAAATTGGTGGCTTTGGAAGTTGCGTGGAAGTCCTGTGACAATCTTGACGCGTCTTCATGGCTCAGTGAGGCTTAAGCGGATTGTAGCTCCTGCAAGGTACATACAATTGCCGGCCATATCAGACTCCAAAGGAAGCAGAGGTAATGTGTACAGGACAAAAGTTGCAGTCTTTGAATATTTGACTGATAATGCAATCTGATTTCTCATCTTTTTAAATCCTTCTGACACCTATCGTCAGTATTGGTGCTGCAGGCGATGCTGGAGGAGAGCGGAAAAGAGTGCCACATCTCATTGGTGATTAACCACATTGGGACAGTTGGGAACCTGTTCCAATCTGTTGGTCCAAATGCTCGCAGCTGCCGGTAGGGCATCCTTCTCTTTTGTGTTGTCGGCTCTGCTATCCACCATGTCACTATTGATATCCTGCTGGTATCGATGCTCTGAACACTCACCCATGCTTAGGGAAATAGAGCTTGACTGTGATTGGCTGCGTGCCGCTGACGGCTTACTCGATCTGTCAGTCCTAAGGAAATGTGCAGATGAAAGAAGGCTGAGGGCAAAATCAATTGGTGACCACTTGATCTGTGCCCCTAGCTACATCAGTCTGGTCCATCCCACAATCTTCAATCCGTTCTGTCTGCATATGCAGCACATTTCCCACCAGAACCAGAAGCCACACATCGGGTCTGGTGTCCACGGCATCTCAGACAGAGGATATGGAAGACGACCTCAACAGTGACATGAGAGAGGCCAAGCGCGTGAAAGAGGACGGCACGGGGGATAACATTGTAAGCTACATATTCCTGTTTGGGGGACGCGACAATTGATCGTTGATCAACGCAGTCCCAAAGAGCGAGGTTTGCATGATGCTGTGTGCTCAAGTTGCCAGCCTCTGTTGCTCTGGCAGTTTAAAGACCTCTTGCCAACGATTCCAGTCCCAATAAAAGCTGCAGGAAAGTGTGCTTTGTTGCCTGGCCAGTCATGTCTTTGCTGAGCCTGCGGTGGTGGTGTCTGAGGTGCTTCAAGTCCTTCCAGGGAGCCAACTCAAACCGACGCCGCAGCTTCCATGCACCAAGCGCTAGTGCAATAATATAAACCTGTTCACTTCTAAGTGCAGAGAAGTCAAGAGACCAAGCCTAAGCTTCCAGTTGAGATATCCATGTCACTCCCTCCTGCCAGGTGGATGCGGCGGCCAGTCAAGAGACCCCCAACCCCGCCTCGGACGGCATTGCAGCAGACAGAGGCGGCAGCGCTTGCCGTAGCAGCCCCGCCCGTCCATCCCCCGATGCGGCAGGACTGCAGACTGCTTCCAATTCTGCAGAGCAGCAGAGCGGTCAGGACAAGCCTTCAGCAAGAAAGAAGGTGCAAAGCATGATAGTGCCCGGAGCCGGTGCGGTGATCCTTTGGAAGGAGAAGCACGGTGTCAGTCGGCCGAACAGCACAGGCAGTGAGCAGACCCCGGATGGAGCGACCACTCCGTTGAGTGGCGCACCGGGCGGTTCCAATGAGAATGGTGAGGCACACGTGTTGAAGAGCGCGGTGGGGCGCAAGCGGCGCCGCAGCGAGGTGCCGGAGAAGGTGCTGAAGGAGATCGAGGGTGGCGGCAACGTGGAGCTGAAGCTGCAAGGTGTGCCAAGTGCGAAGAAGGGTGTGAAGTGTCAAAGCAAGGAACAGGTAAGCACACGCACAAGCTGGGGCTCTGATGTGCCAAGAGCTGACATTCACCTGTAAAGCACACAGTGACACACGCTGTACAGATCTATGATGCTACATTCCACAGTGGACATTTCTCTGACTTCGTGCGTGGACACTGGTTAATAAAGCCCTGACATCAACCGATACGTCCCTCGCTCACTGTTCCTTGCTGCACGCGAGAAGTCATGACGAACTTAATAGGGACGTTCGATTCTGTTCGATTTGAAAGACCCGACACCGCGTCCCTCCGAGAGACAGCCAGCACGAGCAGTCATTCTCCTCGTGTGTCGATGGATCTGCACATTTTTCATATTTAAGGCGTGCACAGCTTCCGTGAGCTTTCGAGCGTCGCTCATCGCTGGATCTGACGGCAACCGTCGGTGCTTGTGCAGGTTTCGCTCATCAGCGCCGGTGCAACGGCCGCCACGCCCACTTCGCCGTCAAAATGTCCAAACATGTCCGCAGACGCCATTTCACCAAAGCCCGCCACAGCTGCCCCGCAGCCAGATCATCTGGTCCCGGGGACCGCAGCGCGCCTGTCGACTTCGGAAGCGGCGCTCAGCAGGAAGAGCGCAGCGGCGCATGTGCCTGAGAGGAAAGATCAACGAAATAGGTCTCAAAAACGAGTTGTCCAAACATCAGAGCCTCCACAATGGAAGAGATTTATCCGCGTGCTCGAAGTAACGTAGCTGACTTTAGCTGCAAAGTTGACCGGCGATTGATGCTGGAGTAGGACGAAACTTCGGTAGGAAAAGTAGTGCATAAGCAACTCGGCCAGAAGTGTTGGATAGGTCGATCCCAATATGGTGGACGAGTGAACGGACTACCGTAATGATTCATCGAGAAGCGGCGACCTCAGGCAAAGAGTCTCAGGGCTTGAATCAGATTGAGCAGTTGCTTTTAGGTTGCTTGATAACCGGAAGCAGGTCTGCGTAATGCTTTTCAACCGTTTGAGAGGCTCTTTAGCTTTCCATATAATCAAACGGAACCCAATAAGTCGACCTGCCATGCTCCTAATCTTGAATTTAATGAAGATCTTGCTCGCAATTCGTGGCGTGATCTACCTAGGTTTCATGTGCCAAAGCCGCCTTCAAGCCCGCGACTTGGCAGATCATGGGATCGTCAATTAGCAGGTGGCCCCCGGCATGATCAGCCCCTCCGTGCTGCAGTAACCATAGACTCACCGGTAGGCATATGGCGTCCTTATTCTTATTTACGATTAATCTCATCTTCAATGTATACAGAACACTACTAGCAAATCGCTGTTGACGTCAAGCTTACGCCAGCTGACATTGATTGACTTGAGCTAGCTGGGGTGGCTGTATGCAGCAATTGGGCTCGCGAGAACCCGCTGAGGTGTCTTCTTCATTCAATCGGCAGTACCCAGTTACATATGGTATACAGACGGATATCAACCCGCGCAAGTGAACCAACGTCGCTCAGTCGAGACGGTTGGTTACTCGGTTTGCGTTAGTTCTAGCGTTCAGCACAATGGCGGGGAATGTCTTTCGCCCTTATATTACTTCGGCAGCTGGCATGAGCAGACGAATTATGCCAGCTGCCAAAGCAGCACATCAAATCTGGTGGTTTCATGTTCCGTAATCGGAATCCGTGTTGATACACGAGCATCCGACTATATAGATGTTGAAGCGGAAGTCATTGCCAGATGGCCACTTTCTGACAGCGAGCACCAACCAGACACCGACCAAGCAATTTCGTTGGTCACTTACCGATTGCACATCAGAGAAACGTATCCCTACAGAAAAGTGGAACTAGTCTCGCTCAATTTCTAGGTCAGGATGCCCACACACGTTCAATCTTATGAGAACCTCAGCCTTGCGCACGTATCTATTTACATGCCAAGATGCGTAAATAATCGCACGTTAACTGCTGTGAGAACGTGAAGAAACTTCCTGGTACTTGATAGCACATTTCCTTATGTTTGCTCGCTTCTGCTTTAGCCTGATCTTTTTGAGAATCGTCGATTTCGGCTTTTGATGCTAAAAAGACGTAGGGCAACCTCATTACCTCTTGATGTGACTTTTAAGGCGGACTCGGTATCATACAAAGCACTCAAGAGCTTTCAATGCCCCCCCTGTCTTGCTGCCCAGACGATGGCATCTCGGTCAATGCTTCCGGCTGACATTTTGGACCTGCAACAAAAGAAAGTCAGGGGCGAGCGTGGGCTTGGAACACTAACCTGGGAGACTTATTTTCTGCAACTGAAATTTGCTGCCCTTCAAAGGAAAGCGTGAAGTTGGGAATCATCAATCAACCTTCTTCTATGTGTGATTGAACAAGCCAAAAACCGCTTCACTGTACTGGCAAGGGTAGTGAATCAAAGACATCGTTGTAGGCGCTGTTTACCTACATCCCAGGCAATCGTACAAGTCTTTCTGAGACAATCTTGGGACAAAGACCAGCCACTTTGTCAACCAGTACCAAAGTGAGGGAAAGGTCGTCTGACCTCGTCGTATCTCTGACCAGCAAAGATGGTGGAAACAAGTGATCAGTGGACGATTGCCATCGAACACGAAAGGCTTAGAAGCCCCGCAACGGGGCACCGTGCGACTGGAGCTGGATATCCCAAGGTTTCAAGGTTTTCTTGTGGACAGCTTTCAAAAACGTTTACCTTACAAGTACGACACTGGAACTGGCAGTGAAAGCCAGAATGCTAATGACGAACCTAACCTCTTCGGTCCTGCCAGGAAGCTCCTCTTGAACCACTAGTCGGACCACACAATTTCTGGCTTCCATACTCACATCTGCCTCTTCATTGTTTGCCGGTGACATCTTCCATTGAACTCCCCTGCCACTATAAGATTTTAACGTCACTAATCACTTTACATTCTTAGCCTACTTCACAGCCTTCAAAGTTACAGCATTCACCAAGGAGAATCTCATCCGCTTCCTCTGGCGTTTCCTTTGAAGGGCCGCGACCGAAAAATTGTAAAGATTGGACATCTCTCCTGATAGATCCTTGTAATCCTCTACTGCCAGTCGAATGTCGTCTGCCTCCTCCTCTGAACGGTCATGGAGGTGAGTTTGTAGATTCGGATATAGAATCCATGTGGTCAGAGCCCTAAACACGTGAGCTTCCAATGGTTTTGTAAAGCAGACCCATGAGGAGCAAGCCCCCAGTTTCTGGCGCTCCTCTTCGGTGAAATTGATAGTATCAATGAGGGCGATGTCTTTCAGTAGACCAGAGTAGCGCATGCACTTCTCTACCAGTGATTCCTTCAACCAGATTCGCGTTTGCATCTGGTTTCCTTCAGGATTCCAGGAGGCAACGCCAATCCAGGCTCCGTGTGCTTTCCATCGAGGATCTTCAATATCAAAAGCGTGACTCCTCGCTGCATCCTCTGCTAATTTCGATGTGTTTGGCAAGTCCTCTAACTGCAATGCGTGTAATCGCGGTATCACTGGGCTCGTCACCTCCCTACCTGCCGTGGTCTGCAGCCTCTTCATGCGTCCCTCGACTCAATCAAGAGCTGTTTGGTTAGCTGGCTTGCTAGGATACTCTCGGAGACGAGCTGGCTAGCGTCTCAATGACGTCGACGGGAGTTGTGCCAGCGCTTTGCCCAGTCAATGCAGCGCTTTGATGTTGCCTTTGATGGGTACGGGCTTATGAGAAGAGAACATGTTGCCACAGCTTGCCAATGCAAGCTCAGAGTCAGAGTCACAGTAAACTTCACAGTTACCTCACGTGGACAGAAAGGCGCAGGCCTTCTGCCTTCTGCCTTCTGCAATCTCTGCTCATGTACTAGCTGCTACTAGTACATTTTTCATTCATTCATTCATACTTCTTAGAAGGCCGTAGCTTTCGCCATGGACCTATTGGGGGCCCGTACAGACATGTCACGAGTTCGATCCTCGAAATCGAGAAGCTACTCTACCACTAGACTACCACAATAGGGTTCACTTTTCGCAAATCACACTTCTCTCTAGCTGCATCTCAGGGGCACAGTGCTCACTATCTAAGGAGTAGTACAGTAGCATGCTAGGTACTCGCTAGGTCTAATCACTAAATTGATGGCTACCTAGGATGCTGCTACATACTTAGATGGTCTTGATGCGGCCCGCGTGTGAGAGTTGCGTGTGCGCTGCAGCGTCCCGGTAGTATGGTAGAGCTTCCCTTACAGACCGATTGTAAAAGACTCATGGCACGTCATTTGTACGGAAGGGCCGAGAAGGAAACATGGAGTACATGCACCAACGGGGCAGAAAGGGGGTTGGAAGCATTCCTTGAGATATCCATTTGCATGCTGAAATCTCACACGACCGCTGTTGCTGAGCATAGAAGATTGCATTGCCCCTATAAAAAGCCTTTCCCGGTGCGCGCCTTTTTTCCATGCTGCGCCCGACTTTTTGGGAAAGGGAAAAAGGTGGCCTACTGTGCAATCCCTTACATGTGGCTTCACTGGTAATCATGCGAGATCCCATTATGATCAAATAGATACAGAGAGTCCATAATGGCAAAACACGCATCCCACACTCGGAGCCAATTTGGGGACCAAATTGTCGAGTGCGCGGCAAAGCCAAGAACGCGTTTTTCGGTTTGTTCAAAGAACTATGCAACAGCGTGTATCAGTCCACAAGTGCCGTGTCCATCCATACAAGACATCCAACCTGCCTGGATCTCACCAACTTGAAAAGAACCTTTTTAAAAGGCTTTGTGGATACTCTCCGAGCGAGCCTGGCTATTGGTCGTGGACAAAAGGTCAACCAGACTGCTGCCAAAGGCACTTGCAGCGGCGGATGGTGGCATGTGAGAGCTCCAATCTATGGAGATCACGTATTCCTCAGAAGGGGCCCGGCCTAAAGGTTGCGGCGTGTACGACAGACGAGCGGCGACACAAGGTCAAACCGCCGTGAGGGGGCTCAAGTTCTTGGATGCTCGGGCAATGTTGAAGCGCCATGTACAAAAGACGAACGGTGACGCAAGGTCAAACCATCGTTAAAAGGTTGGTGTGTGATGAGCTTAGAAGACCTGCAAATAGGATGCTGAGCCACCAGGCGCAACGACGACGAGGTGCAGGTCTGCCAGGGTCCAAAGTGCAGCAGCTCAGCAGATCCATAAGCTGTCCAAAAGTGTCAGCTCAGCCTTCCTCCAAAGGTGTGACAGATTGAGGGCCAGAGCAAGCAAGCAGCAATGCTAACGTCAAGCAGATTGTACTCCAGGCAAAAGTGAGCAGAGACGGGCCCGTACGGCAAACAAAAAGCAAACTTCACAAGAACGAGTAGCAAAACTTAGCTCTGAGTCTTCAGGAGCCGGGTTGGCACATTCACGAGCGGCCTTGCTACTGTTGCTAGCCCTAAATCAGTTCAGCCCAGGTGGCAAGGTGACAATGGTGGCTTTCGAGAAGAGATTCAAAGGCAACACTGTCGCTGGCGAGCTCATTGAAAGGAGGGGGCTGTAAAGACCTGGTGTTGCAGCAAGCCTCTAGGGGCTTTTGAGCTTTCCGGGTGTGGACGAGTAGAACAATCACCATTGCACTCTTACATGCTGATCTCTCTATTACCGCCACTATAAAAGCAGCACCAGAGCAATGTGTGACAAGCTAGGAGAGAGCTACAAGAGGGTGGTTTGAGCTTGAATTTTGGAGGACGGACGAGGGAGATCTCAATTTCGCTGGTGGGAAGCCATTGTCGCCAGTGCTGGAGGAAGCGCCTATTCGCACGTGCGGCGTCCGATGCTCACAGCTTCCTCCATTCCTCCATGAGCAGAGTAAATACGACATGATGAACCTTGTGAAAAACGTTCTTTGTGCCGCCCGGTGGCGTTTCTCCAGCTGGCAGAGAAAGAGTGTCTGTCGTCATGTATTTATGCCTCGACAACCGGCATCGACCGGTTTTCCTTTCTTGGAGCAGTACGCGGCTGACACACTAGATCCTACTTACAGTACTTTCAAACACCTCTCTCAAGTCCATGGCCCTGGGGGACTCTGCTTCAATTTCAGTGTTGCTGGTTTCAGACTGAGCAAGCAATGCGCATGGTGCAAGCTGGGTGCAAGCTGCGCTAGCCTGAGCGGCAGAGGTGGCAGAGAAAGTCGCAAGATGTCTTCCTCTTACGCTGCTTCTCTTCGCAGTGTGCAAGCCTTTGACTTTTCGAGGGGCGCTTCCGTCAGCAGATCAGAGCAGCTCAGGAATGGGGCCGCCAGGATTCAAGTACTGCAACAAAGACATGGCTTTTGCAGGGGCAACTTCGGAGCTCTACTCCCCGGGGGCAGCTTTCAGGCAGGCAGCATTGGTCAACAGCAGTTTGTCTGTCCTCAGCTAGAGAAGCTGCAGCGTCGCAAGCAACCTGGCAGAAGGAGACAGCCAGTAAGGCACAAAGCAGTGGCAAAGGAAGGAGCCTCCTCCCCGCCGTACAATGTGGTCATCACAGGCTCGTCAAAAGGTGAGCGCTTTGACCCCGCTTTGCACAGACTTAGGTTGCGCACCGCACTGCACATGCAGCAAGTGGTGCATAAAATTTACGGTGACATAACATGCAGAGAGACATTGTAGCATATTGTACACTGGATGCGTTCAGCAGATTTTCATGTGGAGCGCTGCACAAATGGGCTTCTCGTGCAATCAGCCATGGGACATAGACTCCCATATGATACAGCCCATTGTTTTTTCCTCTTCTTTGGGTTAGGTCCTTTGATCGGCGCACAGCGTATGTAGCTCAACTATTAATGGAATAACACTTAGGTTCTAACAGCAATCTTGACAGCTTCCCTCTCCTTCTGGAAATTGATTCTCCTCCTGACGTGTGCGCCAAATCCAGGCATCGGCCTTGCGCTCGCAAAGCAGTTCCTGGCCGCCGGCGATCGGGTCTGTTTGTGCGCTCGGGACACTTCGCAATTGGAGGCGCAGTGTAAGGAGTTTGAGAAAGAGTACCCAGGGCAAACGCTGGCGTGGGCAACGGACGTTACAAAAGCTGCGGAAGTGGCCGATCTGGCAAACTTCGCGAAACAAGCGATGGGACACGTGGACGTGTGGATTAACAATGCGGGTGAGGCATGCAGGAGAGAGGCTATGTGCGAATAAGGCTGGGTCAGGACAGGCAAACATGTAGAAGGGCGCTCAGAGGATAAGCGGAAGCCTCTGTTCGGCAGAAGGAGCAGTACGGCAGCTTTTTGAATAAGAGGTTTCAGAGTCAGCTCTGTCTCAGAATTTCGAGACTAGATCTTGAGCAGAAGCGCCAGCTAAAGCTGCAGTCCAGTCAAGCGTTTAGGAAGTTCAAGCCTGCGCTCTCTACGTGTTCAAAGAGGTTGAGGCCAGGAGTAGTGGCATCTTCTTCACCGAAGAGAGGGTCTTGCCTAGGCTGTGAGCCATCACCTGTCATCCAGTTCCAGCGGTCGATGTTAAGTTTGTCCGCGCAACCTTGATTGTTGCAGGGATTGACAATTCGCATTCATGATCTGATTGTTGAGCAGATCACGTAACTTGTTAAAGTCACCACGGGCAGCTTGCAAATTTTCCTCAACGCTCTTCTCTCCCCCCTGCCAGGGACAAATGCGTACACGTACAAGCCCCTGGTAGAGAACAGCGATGAGGACATTGAACAGATTGTTGCAACTAACACACTGGGAGTGATGCTGTGCTGTCGACAAGTGAGCAATCTCTCTACTCCCGGTTCTTCTGTGGTCATGCCTTGTGATGCATGTTACTCTTCATAATCTTTGGTTAAATACAGTGTCGGATCCAGATGTCAATGAGGCTGAGACCAGCCATTTGACTTTTTGGGTTCCAAGTTGCCAGCAGTCAAAGCTTCAAAGTCTATTACTGACATGGATGCATGCGAGAAAAACTGTCAATTTGTGAGCAGTCCTTGTTTTCGGCAATTTGCAGGCCATAAAGCTGATGCAAAAGCAGGGCTCCCGAGGCCACATCTTCAACATGGACGGCGCAGGCGCGGATGGAAACCCGACCCCAAGGTGAGAAGGCTGAGACTCATAAATCCCGAGATATTCAGGTGGCCCCGTGAAACTTCTCAGCACGATCCGAGCCTGGAATCACAGTTTGAGCTTCGAGCTGATATTTCGATAGGCCATCGAACACTGTGTAGCTGGACTTCAATGTTTGTTGCAGAACAATGTCGACAAGCAGAGGTGAAAAGCAGGCACGGAAGAGGGCCTGCAAGGGATCGTCGGGCGTGCACGGGAGGATTGCTTCAATCCTTAGTTGGGAGAATGTTAACTAATTCTTCACGTATCTCCTAAGTCTTCTCAAAATCATCTTTTTAGAAAGACGTTGCTTTCACGACGGCTACTATTTACTTCGGGGACACTCCCAGGAATCGGAGTCCTTGTCATGGATGAAGATCAGAGCTGAAAGATTATGGCTATTCGTACTTCGCAGATTCGCCGCCTATGGGGCGACCAAGCGGGGCCTGGCCCAGTTCACCAAGTCGCTGCAAGCCGAGTTGAAATTACTAGAGATCTCAAACGTCACAGTACATAATCTCTCCCCCGGGATGGTCACCACCGACCTGCTCATGGCTGGCGCCGACAGGTAAGAGAGCGCCCGGCCAGATTGTACAGAACGGCTAGGGATGATGTTCAAATGCGCTGAGTAACACGTCCCAACGGTTGACGAAAGAGTAAACCGTTTTGATGGAGAATCAGGCGATGTGCCTTCATTGGCAAACCTGGGCTGAGTACCGTACCTCTCCCGTTGCTTCGTTGAGGTTGAGATAAATCTGCCTGTAGCTGTCAATCCTTTCCTCTCTGGTCGACAAAGCTCCGCACTGACCCATTTCCGCTGGCAATCTCTATCCATGTCTGGTTCGCCTCCTTCAACACCCGGTTTCCAGGGGAAGTGCCATCGTTGCCCGCGCTAAGTAGCCTCTCACGGCTCAAGTGTTGATAAGCTCCCTCCGCTTGTTCTAGGCAACAAGCCCGGTTCTTCATCAACGCCCTCGCGGAGCCCCCAGACGTGGTGGCCGACTTTCTGGTCCCGCGGATACGCGCTACAGTGGCGAACGCCGACGGCAAGAGCAAGTACATCCGCTTCCTCACGTCGCCCAAGGCGTACTCGCAAATTCTGGCGGTGAGTACAACTTGAACAGTTTTCACACCCAGTAAAACCTAAATGCGGATCTGGCGGCGAGAAGGAGTCACTCACTTACTGTTTTCCGACTACTACATTTGCAGAACTTGGCGGGGAGTGCCCGCTCTCTATTCAGGAAAGAAGGGAGGGCCCAAAGTGTTGAATCATCACAGACTAAAAGTTCCGACCGGCTTCCATGTGCTGGAACTAAGCAACCTAACGTAATCTGACACCTTCTCGGAAGCGGTTCCGGTTGAAGCGGCTGTAAACTGCACCTTCTTTAGGATATCTGTGTCTGCTTGTTTCGTTCTTTCCGCGGAAGGGGTCAACAGCTGCCCTCATAACCTCAGCGTATCAGGCCCTGCTCCAAACAGCTTTCCTTCAAGGCGCCCAAGGCCTTTCTCTACCCCTTTGTTCCTAATGCATTCTTCAATTTCCTGTTGCAGAGGTTGCTCTTCAAGAGTAGAAAAGACCGCTACGTGAAAGAGTCGGACAGCTGACGAGCCGCTTCACTTTGAAGGAGGGGTGCCTCCAAGTGGGCATGGACCTCTGCCCAAGTATAAGCAACGCAGGCGGATGGCAGTGGGTTTTGTCAAAGTCGTCTGTGGGAGCTCACTCGACTCGAAGCACCGAGTATCAAGTGATATTGCGTGACGAGTTGGCTATGTACACCAGTTGAGATATACAAGCCCCAAACTTGCCAAAGGGCATGTACACCCATTTCGGAGTCGCACCCCAATGACTTTACGCGTTGCACCTTCTCACGCAGTGTTTGGAAGCCAGCGTTCGGCTTTTTGCGCTTTGATACATTTTTGAGAAGTTGCGGAATTGATTAACCAGGTATGAGTATCAGGGCCTGAAGCAACCCAACTGCCGGGGTTTCTCATGCAAGTTCTAACCAAGCCCGAGGGGTCTTTCAAGTTCAACGCATGTGCGTTCACTTCTTATTCAATGAACAAACACGTGCTTCTGCCATGTCGCCACAGGGGCGTGCACGTCATGGCTTTCGAATATACCGACAATTGTGCACTGGGATTCGCGGATGCGCCGACGATATGCAAACGTGACTGCATGAGTCTTACAGTACATCATACATGAAATAGTCATTGAAGGCCGATCATGGTAAATGTTCAAATTATGCAAATGGAGCATGGGAGGTCATGATTATATGAGCATCAGTCACGCGCAAGAATCAAGACCTAGATCCGGGTGCCGTAATAGGGCCAAGCGCAGTAAGCGGAATATATTGCTCACGATCGGGCTCATGATAAGTATAGCTAGCGTCATTGCTACTTTGAAGCGGCTGCCCAATCTCCCGCAAAACCGCGTCTTTGAACTTGTCCTTCACCATTTGTGACTGAAGGGTGCGCTCGACTCAGAGGGACCGGCTCGGGACCGGCGTCTAGCTCTCCTTGATTGCAATATGGATGGAACAGTTCTGGTAGTCAATGGGACCGGCCTTGACTATTGAATGATCAGGAAAACTTCTGCGAGCCTTCGGCAATCTAGCAGTCACAATGGCAGGCAAGCTTGGCTGATATTCTCCCTAAGGCTGCATCAGCGATTGAGCTTTTGCAAGGAGCTAAGGAGTCTGAGGCAGTTGAAGCTGGAGAGACCGATCGTCGCGATGCAAGCAATCCTTCCTAAACCCCAGCTGCATAATGCACCTTTCAAGAATGTTCGTGAGTGCACACGTCACGGACCACGGTGGTATGATGCGGCGACGAAAGCTGGTACCAGTCGTAACCAGTGTGAACTGGATGTGGAAAAACACAGCATGCAAGATCGACGGTGCAAAGCCTCCTTCGCAAAAGCCAAACGCAGAACGGAACGGCGTCGAATCGTCGAGACTCGATAGAGAGTCGAGAGGCTCAAGTAGATGCATTATGCGCCATTAATGCCTTCTCAAAGTTCTTCGACGGCAGGCTCATGATGAGCTCTGTAGCAGGGAGAATCCCTCATGATACCGTAGCCCTAGCTGCTGGGCCACGGTCCACCACCAGCCTGGCACCAAGGCCGCCACCAAATGTCCTCATGAAGGCTGAAAGTCTAAAGACGCACCTATCTGGCTGTGCGGCGTTCCATTTTGGCACAAAGTTTCCTGCTGGGTCTGATTTAGAGTCAGACGTCAGTCAACTTTGAAGCTGCGCAAAGTTTGGGGAAGAGTGCACTTCATTACTGCACATTACTGCACATTACTGCACCCTGTACATTTGCTGAGCTGGCTTCACTGGTGCTTGATGTTCCCGGCGCTTGCCTTAACCATTGTGAACAGATTGTAGAGTGCCCTCAGAAGGACTCAAGGACTCAATGAAAGCAGCGCGCAGCAGGGTCAACTGCCGGACTCTGTCCTGTACAATGCTTTACACGTCGAAGGACCCCTCTTTCCTCATTCCTGAACCTTGAGGAGTCATTGCGGAGTTCCTACCAGCAATGGCGTTTCTTCTTGGAAGGTGTGGTTCATTCAAGCAAGGGACTGCAGCTGTCAAAGGCGAAGAAAAGCTCACAGCCACGCCAGCGAGTGGGAGGGCGCCTGAATTCACTGCCGGAATCTCGATTGCACCCTCGGCACTGGACTCATTACAAACGGTTGACTCAACAGGGCCAGTGCCGCAGTGGCTGATCAAGTTCAATGCATTTGCTGAGGTTGCTGAAGACAAAGCTGAAAAGCTGCAGGCAATCACCGCGATGGTGCCTCCCAACCTGATTGAAAAGTTGGACCTCATTCCTGCTGTTGGGAACGTCGTCGAGAATCTGCTTGGGAGCGCCTGGGAGATAGGCCAGTCTCTGCCCTGGGCTGGCGTCATCTTCAAGGTGATGGACAGCATACACAAGGGGGTGAAGGAAGTGCGCCTCAACAAAGCCAATTTTGCCAAGCTGCAATCCGTCATTGCGCAGATCCGCGACGTTCTGAAGGAGCCAGAGATGAGCAAGAGCCTCCAGGGGCTGCCACAGAGCGCTGACTCAGCGCTGCAGAGCTTGGTGCAGTCCCTGGTCGATGCACACGCGTTCATGGTGAAGTTCCAGGGGCAGGGCACCATCATGTACTTCCTCAGTTTGAGCGGGGGCACGCAGCGCTTTCAAGACCTGAGTGATGGGATCAAGGAAGCTTACGAGGCTCTGCGTGCCATGCTGGACCTTCACACGCACACGCTGCTGAAGGTGAGACCAGTGACCCCAACCCCTTTTTAGCCCGAGCCTCATCTTGGGCCAGGTGCTCAGATTCGTGAACTCTCGGTTCTGCACTGAGTAAGGCCATAGTTGGTCAGATTCACTTCCCCTGCTCAGACGGACATAAGTCCAAACCCAAAATTGAACGCTCCGCACCATTATTTATCCTAGGCCCCTAAACCAACCCCACCCGTCCACCAGGCAAATGACCTGAGTCCACGAAGCCATAATCCACAGCAATACAATGCATGGAACCAACTTGGATAGGGCGTTTTGTACCACTTGCTAGTTAGCCTGGGCTTCTTCAATAGAGTTCACTAATTTGCTAGTCAGAAATCTCGTATAATCCTGCACTGAAGAGTTTTTAATGTTGTGATTGCCTTTGAGCTGAGCAAAAGTTGTGCAACAATGCTCAGCCACAAGATCTGTTGCCAAAGGGGCCACCTTGAAAGTCGAGAAGTCCACCACCAAGCCTCAGCATAAGCGTGAGCTCTTTTTGCCGAGACATAGGATTTTAAGAGAGAGCTCCTTATCTTTTGAGAGCAAGCACTTGGACAGACATTCCTGACCCATTGCAAGCAAAAGTTGCCAGCAACAATGCTTCATGTACAAAAGTCTCCAATTAGAAATTAGTATTAGAGCCCTTCTTATCTGCTTTGAAGACATCAAGATAGCGAAATTGCAATCGAATTCCTCATCCTTGTTGACTCCCCATTAACCGCTTGCTTACCCAATTTCTTGCCTACTTGAGGTTTCACCTCACGGAAGCCACAAGCAGGAAGCTACATTGCCTCTCCTTTCAGGGTCTTCTTGATTCTCACAAACAAGTAGAAGGTCCTGATTTGTCTCCTCTCTCACAGAACCTGCACGTGCCAGACTACAAGGAGGACCTGGAAGAGATCAAGGCACTACAGCGGCAGCTGCTTGATGACTTCCACAGCGCGTGGGGCATGGCCAAGCTGCGCTTCGAGCTGTCAGCCACGTGTCAGCTTGTATTGCAGCAGGGGGACATCAGCATGTGGTTCCTCGACAGGTGAGCTCCCCCGAGTGTGAGCTCGTGCCGCAGCAAGTGATGTCAGCACGTACGCAGTGGCCATCTGTTATTTCGTGCTGCAGCCCAGTGAACCAAGGCCCCAAGACTGTCCTATCCAATACCGTGATTGACTACCACGTGTCAGCTTGTGCCAAGCGGAGGACTTCAGCCTGTGGTTCCCCTGCAGGGACACGGACGCAATCGTGAATCCCACAAACCAGGCCATGAAACCCGGAGGTGTCGCATGCAACGGAGTAATTCATGCTGGTGCAGGAAAGGAGCTCTGGAGGTAGGCAGCTCCTCACCGCTGTCCGAAAGCTAGTTGGGAACGTTTTGAGAGTAAGTTCTTCGTGAAGGAATATGCTTTTTGAAATCAACAATAGTCCCACTTTTGACTTGTCCTGAGGGCTCAGAGATACTTTTCATGAAGCTGGTACAAACAGAGCGGGATAAACAGCATGGTACCAGGCGTTTTCGCGAGCACAGCTGTGCATAATGTACTCAGCCAGAAGAGAAATGTTTAAGGAAGGTTCTTGTCAATTGCCAACATCATCTGATGTCAAACCCGCAGCAGTTGGGTTCATGTAAAGATAAGTTGTAGTTCGGTTGTTTTGCAGGTACATTGAAAACAACATCCCAGTCCGCAAAGAGCACATGTTACGATACGAGTGCTGCGACGTCGAGGCACGTTCCGAGCAGCCCGCGCCAGTGAAAGCGCCCTGCCCCAGCTGTGACAAAGTCGCGGAAAGGCGGGGGAAGCTGCAAGAGGTCCGACTGGGATTTCTGCAGGCGTGCACAACCGAGGGGTTTGGCCTCTTTGCGAGGCGCATCGTGCACACAGTGGGAAATGCCTTCAACGGCATGCGGCGGGACGAGGCGGTCTCACGGATGCGGACTGTGTACGAAAATTGTCTCAAGGAGGCAAACAAAGGAGGTAAGATTCTGTTCCCTCTCGAGACGCTTTCTATGAGATGTCGAAAACTAGAGTCGCGCGTACCCGGGGGCAAACGGTTAAGTCGATTGCCCGCATGCAGTGCACGCACCAGCTTGTACACTTCATTGTGAAAAGTTTAAGCGCCCTTCCTTAAGCGAAGCTTTCAAGTGCATTCTTCTGGGTAAGCGCGCTGCTCTAAGCCAATTCTTGGAACAGGAGGGGCAGCTTACAACCAGAAGATGCTCTCTAGTTCCTGGTATTGGTACCCGAAAGGGAGTTGCACCATCGTAACAACGACAACGACGCATGTGTGCAGGTTTGATTCGCTACCTCGCGTTCCCCGCGCTTTCTTGCGGCACAATTGGACTGCCCCCAAAATACGCCGCGGAGGTAGCCATTGAAGCATGCAAGAAGGAAGCGGGCAATCTCAAAGAAATCCACTTTGTGCTGCAAGACAAGCGGGCATGGGTCGCTTGGAGCACCGTCGCTGCTAACTACAAGCCAGGAACCGATTCCGGGGACGCATTCGGAGGCGCCATTCAGGTGAACAACTTTGGTAACCTCGCTACTAACCACAAGCCAGGAACTCATTCCACGGACGTCGACCCATTCGAAGGCACCATTCATGCGAAAAAATTTGACAACCTCCCCTAGGCTGCCGAGCAGATGGAGGTCCGCAAGATGCGGCGGCTGGTCACGAGACGTCCGTCAAATACGGCCTGCCCCATTCCTGCATGACTAGCTACTAGTGTGTCTTTTGGAGCAGAGCTCGGTTGTGGAGAGAGTTGTCGTGGGTACCCTTCTGACGTTTCTGTCCAGAAGAGTCGACAGGAGGAAATGACATCTTATTGAGAATCATTATTAACGCGTTCCATGTTAGAACATCGACAACTACGCACACAGAACCAGTCTATGAAAGGTCGGAGGCAGAACTCTTTCGATTGTACTCGATCGATCCTTTGTATACTTGTTTTTCGTCGCTTATATCCAGAGCCGTGCGTGTACGCGGCCCAATGAATGACATCCATTCTGCTTCGATAAAACCCTATCGAAGTATTAATACCTGAGTTTAAATTTGAGCGCTTACACTCAGCACATTTGTCTTCCTGAACCGCATCTGCGCTGGCTAAATGACGCGGCTCCCCTATGACTATGTGGATATACGAAGTCTTAGAGATGCATGATCAACTGGCAAGTGTTGACTAATTACTTTTTTGTCAGACGGCCGCGCGCAGCCTGCATATTGGATGAGAACTGGTTGTATTGAATTTCTTGATTTTTATCTAGTGCTTGACAAGTGGGCAAGCTGTCGGGTCAAAGCGCATCCTATTCCTGGGGATCGCCGTGTACGTCATCATTGCATTGCGCACATACCGTACCGGCCTATTTGTGTAAGCCATCTAGCTTTTTCAATGTTACATTTAGACGTCCATCAAACAATTTGAATGCATGCCAGGAGCTAGCCTGCCGGCCTTGGTCACTGAGGCGCACCGATAAAATAAGCGAGTCATGCCCGCGCGCCACTATGAACCAACGGATTCATGCAAACGCTGTTTTGGCAAGGTGCAGCGATGCGCGGCCGTCGAATTTATTCTCAATGAAGATGCACATGGCGATGCCCATCTGGGTGGAGTCCACACTGAGGCTCAACCAGCCAGTAAGTGGTTTAAATTTTTTTTAGAAACTGTCAAGAAATCTCCAATGCAACGGTGAGAATCCGACTGGAGCCCAGATGAGTCTTTACCCCTTTCATCAAATTTGAGAATATCTGTCACGCTTCGCCCACAAGTTAACGATGATGTGTATTCATGAGTATGATCATGGCAACGGCATGCGCCGCTTCTTGGCGTCTTGATCTATCATTGCTCTTCTCGACCGCACCGTTGGGACGCTGCCTGGCGTTGACTTCTCAGTGAATGGAGTGTGTTTACTTGCTTCCCTGGGATCAGTGCGGCGATCAATTCCTCTTCTTAAGTACAGCGGTTTTATCAGATATGACTGCTGAATAGCACGAACTTATGAGCCGATGTTGGGAAATCCTTCTCAATTATGACCAAATGATCCATGATTGGCTACGCCGATAGCTGCCAGGCTGGCGCACGGGTCGCAGAGCGGGCAAGCTATGCTTTGTCAAGGGAGTGGGTATACTGTGACTCTACTGGTATACTCATGGTGAAAATCAAGTTTGATTTTGTTTCTTGCATGAATCTTGATGCTAAGTCCGACCACTTCAATCAGGTTCTCTGCTTCAGGTGACGAACGGAGGGCCGACAACGGGACTCTATAGGTACAGCAGGGTAGTCGAGCAATTGAGGAGAAAGGGAGATTTGTCAGGCAGTTGATCAACCTTCAAAACGCATGATACGTTTGAGCAGTGTCGAAATATAGAGGATCAGAGCGACTAGCGACCTGACCAGCCGCTCGACTTTGCAGAACATGCTAAACCGGGTACTTTCAGAAGGGGTCGCAGTTCACTAAGTCTTGAGACCTTCAGATTGAAAAGCGGCGCACGCGCATCCGCGATGGCGAAAGAAGGAAGCGAGAGGAAGCAAGCAGAAGCAACTACTGGTTCTGGCGGCGGACAGGGAGGCAGCTTCTTCAATGATGCGTCCAGCAGCGACGTTGTGGTCAGGATTGTTGAAGGCAGCGAAGACGGAGCAATAGCGGAGCAGGGTGGGTTCTTAGAGCTGCACCTTCACCGGAGTATCCTGATTGAGAACAGCACCTTCTTTTCTGCACAGCTGTCAGATAGGTGGGAGGGTGCATGCGCTCGAGACACTCAGGGGCGCCCGCTTCTGCTCATCGCGTACTCTGGGCACTCTCAGGACTGTGCTTCTGCGCTGCAGAAGGTTTCTGAAAGGGCTCCCGGTGATCCAACCAAATTCCCGGTGCATTCGTTTGCTGGGTTCGAAGAGGCGCTCGACTGTCTAAAGCCTGCCGACCAGTTGTCTCTATTCTCCGTTTCTGCATCTGCTGTGGCGTACTTGGAGAGCATTCCCTGATCCGGAGAGCAAAGGGAGCAGATCCTGACAAAGGTCGCGCAAGTCGGGTTCCCTTCGAAAGAGCTTCTAGCAAGATTGAAGCCGCCATCTGAATGGATTAGCACTGGGCTTCTAGATCCTGTCCTCTCAAAAGCAACGTCGATGCAGGCTCCCGACGCAAACGCACGCTCTTCTCTCCGAGACTTTATGTCGGAGGTAAACGTGTCACTAGGCACCCACGACGAGACTGCGATGGAGACAGAGGGCTTTTTGGCGGCCGGCCTGCGAAGATGCCTTTCTCAGATGGACAGCACCACAATCCCTTCTCTCAAGTTTGAAGCGGAATTCAAACACCACCGCTACCAGCCTAGACCGCAGTCGACCTGTAATACTCCCTTGTCCAATCTGCTGAGCAACTTATCCTGGATTTTCCAGCTTCCAAGCTTGTGCGGGGCGAATGACGTTAGGAGGGACGTCGTGAAGACGATGCTTCAGGTTCATGCGGCTTGCAAAGCTGCAGTCTTTAAGGAGCAGATCTTTCACCGTTACATAGCGGAGCGCCTTTACCTCCCCGTCATGAAGGCTGTCGCGGAAGGAAGCCTGGTCCTGGGAGCGGAGAGGCGTGTCAGTCTGCTGGGAATGTGGGTCCCGAGACGTTTTGCTTACTACGATACGGAAGGGGCTCAGCATGTTCACTCCGAGGCGATGCAAGCAGCCTTCAACGCGGTGCTGGGAAGTGTGAGCTTCGACGACCAGGAAGAAATTCTGCGTGGGTGGATGGACGAACTCAAGGGAGAGAACCCCTGGGAGCCGTGGTTTGGAGAGTGGATGAAGATGTGCCTCCTCGCAAGGTGGAAAAAGGGTAGCGCCCGTAAGCATTCCGGTCAAATTTCTTTTCGCTTCCGACCGTCCTGTTTGTGGCCCCAATGCTCATGCTCCTCTGATTGGTTATACTTCAGTTCTTTCATCGTATGTGATGGGCAGAGCAGCAAGGTGTGGTATCAGGGGCTTGAAAGCTTGCCGTAAAAAGGCTGTGAACGATCGCTTACTATCAGTCAAAGCTTTGGCTGGCCACGGTTTGTGGCACTAGGTCCAGCATCTTATGATAAAAGATCCACTGAGTTCCTTCCATTTCGGAGCTGGCCTTAGTATACTTCTAAAGCACTTCCGAGATTTGAAGGCTGATTGCAGTCACTCGCGGCAGGCGCTTCTTTATCTGGAATGAAGCTATTCTAGTCTTAGAGCCTGTGAGGTCATTCTCCATTTATGAAGCGTTTCAGTAGGACCTTCACGTCTGAGAACCGAACCTGATTGACGAAGAGCTGCGGGTCTGACTATCCATGTCCTGGAGACAGTAGGATGATAGCTAGCAAGTTTTCGAGCCGCATGCAAGCAATCTGTCTCTCGGTTCGATAATGAACCGTCCGCTGCGCCCAGCTGCGCCTGAGCAGGAACAAAGAGTGTCTCTTGCACTTACGTCAGCTCTTCATTCCTGATCGTGGCAGGTACGGATTGCAGAAGCTATCTGGGGACTGAGCCCAAGATCTCCTCAGCGCAGCATGGCTAGCACTTGTACATATAGTAATTTTGAGTGGTCACAGAGCTACAAGTTCGCCTTTCTTTGGGTCTGCTTTTGCAGATTGAACACGTGAATACTGTAAGTTGGGCGAAGACTTCACAGATAGATACCCAGTCAGGAACGCGAATTTGTCAACGGTCCCCTCTTGTAGGACATGTGAAGAAGGGAATATAAGGAGACAAAAGGTTTCATATTAAGGCATGTCGTCTCTGCTACTAGCATCCAGCATAAGGCTAAAAAGCTGACGTTACGATTCGAAGACGTTCCAAACCTCTCAGAGAGAACGCGAAACAAGTTGACCTTCGACCTATGCATCAAAAACACAATTCCCTGCTGTGGCACTGAGCTGCCTATGGATCTAGCTGGAAGGCACACCTTCTCAAATTGCCAGGCGCAGCATTTGTACAAGCCGCGAATTCCAAAATTGACGGTTTCGTATCCCAAGAAGATACGGGCCCCCTCAGGCCACCAACCTAAACCGGTCCAATCATATTCGTTGATCTCCGGCCTATGAGATTGTCTTGTTGGGGTATACCCGCTCGGTCCCTCAGTGACAAAAGCAATGCAGCGCGCGTGCCAAGTTGGGCGACTATATACATGTTGTGCATGCGTCCACCCACTGGGCCATGTGGGCCATAAGCGAAGCTCTCCGACTTGTTTGAGCTTATATGTACGTCCATACGCTCAGTGCCTAGAGGTGCATGCCACCGGCCCGCCAACTTATAAGCTGCACTACTTATGCTTTAATGGTGCCATAAGGAACGCACGGGGAAGATGCGCTTTGTGCCGTGGAAAATACGTGTGCGATTTGTGACCCTGAAGCTTGCCTATATCATGCACGATACCCATTGTAAGGCCGCCATGGTTTCACAGGAACCTTCCTCCAATAAGTGGATCATGGGTATAAAGTAACGGACCTTTGATACATGCCAAACCGAGTGCTGCGCAAAAGGAGATTCACTGCATATGACCATTCCGACAATCAAGAGTTGCTCTTTTCCGGATAAACAGCTCTTCACACGAACCCCAATGCCATGGTGAATTATCATCATGTACGTACGGCTGCAGCATTTGGGTACCGTTATGTGACTTGTTTACCGAGCCATACGTGGTTGCGACCACATCTGCACATCTGACCGCAGCTCAACGATAAGTTGTTGCAACAGCTAGACAGTTGCTTGCGGGACTGTTCAGACATTCGAACTTAGCTTGTCAAAGTATGGTGTTACGATCAGCAAGTTCGTCGAAAGCTGTCAAAATTTTGCAGAACCATTGCCGGCCACACAGCAATAGTGGGCTACTTCAAGTTGACGTGTCTACTTTACCTGGCCTTCATTTCCGCGTCACTTTGTACACATGACTGCTCAAAGCATAAGCAGCGACTCTGTAGCACCGCCAGTGACGCCTTTAGCTCAAGACCCGTGCGACAGTAGTTTCTTGGCATGCTTTTTGAGTTGCTCTTCTCGCCGCCCGTACAATTGCAACAGCCTGAAGAAAACCCTCTCAATAAGTCATTCAGAGAATTGGTTACAAAAGTGTCCCATGATCAGGCCGCCTCCTGCTCGACGTCACTGCTCGCTTGAGCAGCGAAGTACGCGATGCCCCGTCAAGCCTTCTCCGGTAAAGTTTTGGAACCCGTCCCTCTCAAAGGAGAGGGAAAGAACCTTGCAACCGCTTAAAGTCCCAGAGCATCATGAGTGATTGAAACCTCAATCACAGAAGCACACATTTACGCGACTGACATCAGCAAGCAAACGACGCTGGCCCTTGATCAGGGGTTACGGAATCGACACTCCGTTCTGAAAAATCTCAGCTTTACTTCATTTATGCCTTAAGGTTTCGTGAACAAGCAGGGTGAAAAAGACCGTTGGTAGTGACTTCCCCTGCCCCCCGTTTGTGATTGACCGGCAACTTAGATTGACAAAATGCAAACTTCGTCCCCCAACATTCATACTACTTATACTTCAGCGAGCAAAACCAAGCACTCACTGCTCCTGTTTCTCCCGCGCCGCCTCCTCCGGCGTCTGCTTCTGCACGGCCACCCCCCCGTCAGACTCCTCCGCTTCGGACCCCTCCCCTCCGTCGTCCGATTCCTCCTCTTTCCGCACCGCCTTCTGTAGCGCCTTCAGCAACCCCCCCTTCGCGTGCCCGTTCGCACCCCCCCCTCCGTAGCCTCTGCTCCGTCCCCCCCCTCCCGCGGCCGTTTCCGCCCGACGCGCGCCATGATCCAACTGCTGTTGCCCAGCTCGTGCAGGGTTTTGGGGGTTTTGGAGTCGGTGGTTT